TTTCCTGATTTTATTTTCAAAAAACAAGTTAGAGAAGTCTCGATTAACTTTCAAAAAGATCTTTCTACCAAAATTTCTTGTTGTACCTTATTTTCAGAGTTACGATCCGGACAATAAAATGCGACAGACAAAGCGGTGACTATTTGTTCTCCCTTCGCAAAGAATAAAAATGAGACCTTTTTATATATGAATGTCTTTCATTTAAATAACTCCTTTTTAAAGTTTTACTGTGAATGTTAATTTGAACAGGTAAAATCAAATGCATTAATGAATCTAAAAAAAAATAAAGCAAAGGACAAGGTTCACAAACAGGGCTTTTTAGCCCAGTAATTTTACAAATGCAAAACCATGAAATATAAACGACATCCTACATATTTTAAAAGAAATGGCCTATATTCTAACAAAAAATCACAAAATATTACAGTAAATCGTATTTTAATGTCTAAAAAACACAACTTATTAACCATGCATAATTGTCAAAATAGCGAAATTCAGAACGTTCGCTGTCGTATTTTCTTAAAATAACATATGAAGAGCCACAAGCGACACAAAGTCCTTTTCAGGTAATGATACTAAATATATACTAAAGCTGTGGCCGAAATATGTGGTGTCGGGTTTGGCTCTTCATATCTAAAAATAATGTTTTTCCGACATTTGCTGTTGCTATGGAAATTCGGTCTTAGCTGATAATTCCCATGATATTTGGCATGAAAACAATATGTTTCCTTTAAAAAATCTTATCTAAACTAATTACTCATGTAGACCTTTAAATAAAATATATAAACTTAGACAGCAAACTGATTTATAACATATTTTACGTGTTTTTTATTTCTAATCAATATCCGAACTTGTCCTGCCCGAATACGTGGTTGATCAGAAAAAAAATGTTATCCGTTTGTGGAAAACATTTGTTTATGTCTTGCTAATAAATAAATACTAAAGACAATATAGCACATTACATTTATGTTTAACCCGCTTCTCGTAAGAAACAGAAAAATTTCGTACGAACGCCAACTTTTGGTTCGAGAATTGACCACTACTGTATTCAAGGGAATTAACTCGACATTGAATCTGAAACTGAAAGTAGACTGCTATTGTTTTTCTCTCTGATCGTTTTCCAACGCTTTTTTCAGCGATGTAGGTGCAAAAAACTGGAAACGAAAGGTAAAAACTTTTGTATAATTATATTTTGTGACGATAATACTTTAAATTCAATTTCTGTATAGAATCAAAATGTTTATTTCGACCTGTCATTTTGTGTTGTTACGGACGCAGACGTCAACATGTCAACTTTTAAAATTATAGAAGAACAGTGATAAATCAATAGTGAAATTAAAATATTTGGTAATGAATTGAAATATTTGAAAGTTTTACAGAAAAGAGCCTTAAAGTATCGTTTTAAAAGGAGCAACCGAGTGATAATGTTTTTTTAAGTGTATTGATATTTGTTTTGCAGATGGAAAAGTCAAGGTACTCTATAGCCTAGTGGATGTAATCGGTGGCTGTCACCCGATAGGCCGGAGTTCAAAACCATGTAGCTACCCTTTTTTTTTCTTTTTTTTTTCAACAACTTTCTTTAGATAATGTCTTACTCATTTGTTTTATTTTCTCTGAATTTTAAAGTTTTTTTTCTTATATAATATTTAAAAAAAAACGTGATAAATATAAAAAAAATGATTGTTAAAAGATAGACTTATCACAAAAACTATTATGGTATGGTTTGCAAAAAGTTTGTTCAGTTTTAAGACTGGAAAACACAAAATTTGATATAGGATTAATTTTTAAAGATATACTCTGCAGTGATAATTAACTTTAAATAATTTAATAAAATATAAGGCATATTTTTTATGATTCATCTTTTTTTCTAGGATGCCTCAAAAGATATGTGTGCTGTTGCAAAAAAAAGCTAAAACTGCATCAAAGAAAGACCTGTCAACAAAAAATATAGCTAAATATTTACGGAAATTCTATTTGATGCAAACAACCAATTTGGATTTTATTTGTGGAGGTTGCAGCAAAAAAGTGTATCCAGTTTCTAGTGCACAGCCAAAGTCATCTGTTTCAGACACATCAAGAAAAATCTACTGAAAATCAGAACAGCAACAGCAACAACATCTACAGCCTGTAAAAGTCCACCATCCATTTCAGATTCCCATTAAATCTACATCCAAAAGCCATTCCCCTACTGTTTTATTTGTAAAAGCCAGGTCCAAAATCAATAGTTGTACCAGCAAATATAAGAATATTCAGTATTCATTGAAAACATTGGAATTATTTATCACAGCTGAAAGCAGATGTGTGTACTTCTCATTTGTTCAATCACAACTTAAAACGAATTTAATAAAGAGAAGAACTAGTGAAGCATGAAAAACAAAAAAGAATAATCATTTTGAACAGAACTACTATTACTGAATTCATCAATAAAACAAGAGAAATTGCCTTAAAATCTTCAAACAAGAGAATGTCATTTGACAGTATGCATACCTATACAGATGAAGATTTTAATCAACTTAACAGGCCTAAACAAAGAACAATTTCTTGATTTAAGTATACCAACATGTTGAATCTTCAATAAAAAACACCAGCAAGAACCTCCATAACAACACTTGGTATTTTCCTCTTTAAAATGAAAATGTGGACTTTCAAACAAAATATTATCAACAATATTCAATATAACAAAATCAAGTATAAGAAGAGCAATTCACTCAGCTAGACAAGCTCTTTGTGATATCCGATTGTCCCAGCCCATCTTGGATTTTGAAACATGGTTACTAGAGAGGAAATCATTCAAAAACACACCAGAAAATTAGCACAAGACCGTTCTAGCTGAAAGCAATGACCAGGCAATTTCTAATTCTTGATGGAACATATATTTACATTAACAAAAGCAACAACTTTCAATTCCAAAGGAGAAAGCTTTTAGTATGCACAAGCACAGACCATTAGTTAAACCCAGATAATTGTCTCATACCACTGGTTATTTTGTGAGTGTTTTAGGGCCATATTTTTGCTGACTCAAAAAACAATGATGCATCCATTCTAAAAACATATTTGAAACAATACAACATACAAAGAATCAAATCATGGATTGACCCCAGTGACATTTTTGTAGTAGACCGTGGTTTTAGGGATGCTATTGAATTAATGAAGGAACTAAGGATACAAGCAAGAAATGCCTGCCTTTATGAAAAGAACAGAAAAAACAGATGACAACAGATGATGCAAATGCCTGTAGGTTTGTAACAAAGGTAATAATTTAAATAATCAACTACATATATAATAAATTATTATTATCAATTTCAGATTTAAATGCACAGCTTTTTAATTGAAAATTATTTTATGTTCAATTCTTATATATGAAATATTGAACATTTCTAAAGTAAAAGATAGATAAAATTACATTGCATAATATTATCAACTTAATATAAGTTCATATATTTTCATGTATACTTTATCAACTTTTCATTTTAAAAGCATATCATTCACTTAATACATACATTATTGGATGTATTTTAATAATATTGAACATTTTCAGCTGGTCATTTCATAATTAAACATTTAGGATTATAAAATATTATTATTTTAAATAAAAACCAATTTAATTAAAATGCATTTAACATCAATTGTTGACCAGACTGTTCTGTAGATTATCATATTTCTTCTTGATACCTTATCTCTCATTAAATATGATGTACTGTAATACTGTATTTTTATTCAATATAATGTAGATAGTTTACTGCAAGATTAGCATACAAATGTTCATAGTAATTATTCTTTCTTTTATTTAATCACAGAAATATTGCCTGATTAATATTAAGTTTAATTTATAATAAGAAAAATAAAAAACTTTAATCTTCAATTATTTTTCCTAAGATTAATTAGTTTATTAATTAAAATCAAAAGAAAAACAAACCAGAAACACTTCTCAGACTACTGATTATAGAATACTGACCTCAGGTGACCCTCAAATTCTTTGAAATTGTAACAGTAGGTCACATTCTGGTGAAGGGGACATAATTGAGAAGTAATTAAACATGGCTAGAGTTATTTAATATTCCATTAAGTAACAAGTATAATGTAATAATGAAAAATATTTCTTGGTTAATATCAGAATTCAACTTTTAATTCAATCCTTTAGTTGTACATTGTACTATACCCCTTAAATTGGGGTTAATTTTAAATGTATTAAATTTCACATGTTTTTCCCAAATTTTATTTAATTTTTTGCTTCAAGTGAGATTTTTGGGGGGGGTAAAAAGGGCTGCAACAAAGGGAAACAAAAGGTGGGAAGACTTTCCCCAATGTTTCTTTTCCAAAAAAACAAAGTGCTATACATAGGATTATGTAAGCCCCCCAATTTTTTGCCTTATTTTAATAAGTTTCCGCCAACCCCCATAAACCAAAACCCCAAAAACTTTAACTCCCAAAAAATTTTTGCAAGCCAGATTCGGGGTAGTTGTCAGGCCCAAACTTTGTCTTTAAATTTTGTGGGGAAAAACATTATCTTGCCCCAAAGGGGAAAATGTTTGCCCATTGCCGAAAAAACTGAAAACATTGAAGATTTTCCAAAATTCAGAAACTTATTTTTGAGAATTTTAAACTCTTGGTACTTACCAGTTAAAAAAATGAGCTCAAGCTATGTACAGGAGTATATTAGTTTGGTACTTGTGACTTTCACTTGCCAAGGAAATTCCGGGCCTTCTAAGAGTTAGACTTCAGAGCCGCCATATAGCATCAAAATCATATCCTGTGTGGTTAAAATATGATGAAGACCATGTAATTGCATGGTATTGCAAAACTGTAGGGCTGGGGCTACGGACAGTTGGTACTTGCTCTCATGTTGCTGCAGTCATATGGTACCCTGGGCATGGCTGTCCATACAGCTGAAACAAGCTTTGGTGTGAAAGACTGGGGTGAGTATTTGGAGGATGCTTCAGCTAATCCAGAATCAATAGACTCTTCAGATTCAGAAGAAAGTATAGTTGAGGAATAGCTTCCTCTCATATAGTGGTTGATATATTGTTATATCCAAATGCAATTGTTCTATTTTCAAATTCTGTACAAACAAAAGTTTTTTCAATAAAGTGATTCTGCTTGGTTATATATTGTATAAATATGTCTAACAGGTTATATGGCCATGCATGATTGATTGTTTGCAATATAACCCACCCCTAGCGGCTCATGTTATATAATCTAATGACTGTTTATATTGAACTATGTACATAGCCTGTCAGACATTCTTGTAACTAATATTATCCTGTTTCAATCAGCGTGTCATACTCTCTTAGAATATGTAAATATTGAACTAAAACTTTAACCATTAAGTAAATAAGTGTATATGAAGTCAGCATTAAATTCATTCAATATGTCACCCCAGTTGTGCCAGATCTGACAGGTTTAAATACAGTAATGCTGACTAATAATGTTTTTATAGATAAATAAATGTAAATTAATATATACTGTAAATTCTAATTGTATTTTTTGATGTACATATAAGTAATTATATATAATGTAATATTGCTTCAGTGATGTTAATCTTAACTTGTACATCTGTATAAAAGTGCAGGAATATTAATTTACTGGTACTGTATAAAATGAGCCGTTTCACGACAAACGAACATAATGGGTTTGCGACCAGCATGGACCAGACCAGCCTGCGCATCCGCGCAGTCTGATCAGGTTCCATGCTGTTCGCTTACCATCCCTATTACAAATAGAGAAACTGATAGCGAACAGCATGGATCCTGATCAGACTGTGTCGACGCGCAGGCTGGTCTGGATCCATGCTGGTCTCAAAACACACTTTGTTGGTTTTGTCATGACACCAACGGCTCAAATAATTTAAATTGTCATTGGGAAGCATTTAAACTATTTACTGTAATTACAATGTATCATGTTTATCTGTCCAATATACTTAATCAATGCTCATTAATGCTACTGGTTTATTTTATATTTAACTGAGTTTACTTTTATTGTCTAATTTTTAGAACATTATGTACCCTTTATCTTTCAATTGTTTCAAAACATGCATCTCACCAAAGCCAATCAAACAGTGTTGCTATAGAAACAAGAAGATGTCCATGCCCTATAAAAGTAAAAACCTTCTGAAATTTAAATGTATACCGTAATTCATAAACACCCAAAATGTTAAAAATGTAACACATGCAAACTGTCTCTTCATACAGCTTTTTTTGTTTGAAATGAAACTAGTTTATGTTTCCATGGCAACACTGAAAACAATACATTCACATTCTTAATATTGGAACTATCACTGTTGTAGAGGCTTACATATAAAAGAAATATAGATTGCAAGTATTTGTAAAATTCTGTGACTCTAGTTGCAGAATCACAATATGTGAAAATTGGTGACGTTGCCATGGAATTTTAAATTAAATTTTTGTAGAAAATTTATTTTTTTAATGTTCATTTTTTTAATGTTGAAATTATCTGTTTTATATCTAGAGAGATGTTAAGTTTGTGTGTTTGAGACTGTTATCTAGCTATTTGCCAATGTTATAAGGAATTAATTTGTTAGAAATATAAAAAATGGTGCATTTAACTTGGTTGCTATGGTAACCTAATAAATAGAAAAAATGCCTAAGTTGTTCTTGTTTCTTTTTCAACACATAAATATTAATCTTTGCTGAAATTTTGATGAATTTCTGAAACAGGGCATTTTTTCACCCAAAGTGAACCTAGCCCTTTCATTAAATTTACTGGTAATTAGAATTAGGATATATAATTGAAAAAAATTAATTGCGTCTTAATAGTTAACAAATCTGCACAAAAATACTATGTTCCACAACTTTCATATCTGTTCTTAGTTGAAGGTTTATGTCTATCTTAGGTTAAGGTCATACTTCACGTGAAGGTTTAGTGCAATATCTTATTTTGTCTAACACATGAATCAAATCCATTCAATCACAACATAAGATATGATTTATTTTTTAAAAAATTACGAATATGATCTTAATGCCAATGACCTTGGTTTTAAGAGGATTGTACAGATGTTCAGACAGTTAATAGATATTTAAGAGAAGTGAAAACTGTGTAACCGGGACACAACTTTGATTGTAAATATTTTGTTTTTTTGACTGACCGGTGTTATTTTTGCCTCAGTTGCTATGTTAAGAATACCAACCAGTTTGATCATGTGTCAGATGATTTTCATTGTGTAGACATGTTTACTGTCATTTTCAGATATTTCTGATTATTTAAATAATTATAACAGTAATAAATGGAATATAAAATGAAGTAAAAAATTGAATCGAATCGAACAAAAGCTTAATAGTATCAGGGTTAAAAGAAAACAAAATTGGAAAGACGTAAAAAAGCATATTTAAAGGCGTTGCAATGCTATTTTAGGTTTATAAACGCAAAAATGAAATCAATGTTATGCCAAAAAGGCAAAGTTACGCGAATAAAGGTGCTATGATGCTTATCAAGGCGTAATAGCGCAATTAAAGCTGTTTTAATGCAATATAGATGACTTTATTAACTTTATTTTTGAACGCAAATAAAGGCATAATAATGCAAAATACAGCATTTTAATTAAAAACAAAAGGTGTTGTAACGCGAAACAAATGTGTTTTAATATGAAACAAACAGCATTAAAACGCTAAACAAAAAGCGATATAACGCAAATATTATTTAATGGCCTCATAAGCAATTACACTAAATGATTCTGAACAACTTAATTTCAAAAATTAGATAAGCAATGTTCGTAGAAAAGAATATATTTTCGTCAAAAGAAGGGGAAATATACCGACAGGATTTTGTGGTAAAGGACATTGAAAGGACATGTTGTGGTGTCTGTGCATAACATATAAACTTTTCTAATTCGACATGAAAAAGAACAGAAGATTTTCAGTAAAACATATAGTACACATCTCACCTGAGACTTCTCTTTGGGAATGTGATGTTGAAGCTGGTGGTGTTGCACTATCAACTGTGCTAATGTTATCTGAAAATAAATTCACTGAGTCGCATATAATAATTCGTCAATGTTTGAACTCATTCATATAAATGATATCAGCCTTCGGGTTCGGTCCGTTAAATGTTTAACTGATCGGTCACAAGAATGCTATGAAGCACTCAATTGCACTTGATATAAATAACGAGTTGTACTGTGTAATAAAAAATTCATTTTCAAATTACCATTAACCTGCTTTTGATCAGAAAATGATATAACCAAATGACAATACAAAATCAGCCGCCATTATCAATCATATCGCATTATTATTTTAGAATTAAAATAAATTATGATTATTTCGGACAAAGTCTGTCTGAAAACAGTTTGACTTCCTGTAGAATACCAAAAGTATTTTGACAAAAACTACTTTATAAAAATGAAGATAACTTTGAAACTTTTTAGTATATCGACAAAAATTACATCCAGCTCAATTCGCTTTATTAAACAACAATACCAAGTGCTAAATACATTCTGTTCGACACATATTATCTTAAAACGATATTCATGGCTATAAAAGTAATTGAAGATAAGATTTTGAGTACGAATCAAATAGCGATGTTTTGTCCATGGTGGCGTCTGCGATCTTCTTTTTGAATGGAATTTTATGAAATCATTGATAAATCTTATTTCGGATTCGTAAAAATAGGAAAAAAGCAAATGATATGTTTGGTACAATGTCTTTTTTAAACAATAATTTATATCTATTTTTTCTCAATTAAAAGCATTTTAAAAGATGTAACACTATGTTATATCAAACTACATGTATACATCAAAAACAGTTCACCGTGAAGGTACTTTCATGAATAAAACAACTGATTTGTCTAATAAATGACTAGGTAAATTCAAAATCTACTGAAAGTCAAATTGTATAAACGTCATAAGCTCGCCATACAATTTGTTGAAATAACCCTTATGACAGCCCTGCACTACTGCATTTAGTGTAAGAGTTTCATACGTTTGTTGAAAATACAATTCGTACATGATTAAAACTGTTGTAAAGACAAAAGTAATATGCACACATACAAAAACAATGTATATCAGGGAAGAAGTTTTTCTGTAAAGAATTTGTTATATTATGTTTACTGAAAAAAGTCATTCAGCCACAAATAATGTTCACAAGTAATTACTGTCAAAATTCAGCAAGCACTGAGCTTATCTTCATGTTTCGAAACCTAAATAACATATGCAAGTTAAAGAAGGTTTACTTCGCTCTGGTGTCAAAGATCCTGTATGTTGTTATTAAGGTTGTAACCACACTTAGGTGAACTTCTATATATGTATATAATTATGCTTATAAGACAATTCGAAGATATGTAAAATATATACTGCAAATATTTGTAGACATTATATGTAATCATTTAAAGATAAGCATTCATTTCTTTTTTTAAAAATTTGACTTAGACTTTTAAGAAAATAAATTTCTAATTACCTTCTTTTATTAACATGAAAATATAAATTTCAGTGATAAATTTACCAAACAATGCTTTTTTGAACATACAGTATTGATAAATCTTCATTTAAGTAATATTTTTAAGTTGTAAAAGCATAACACAATTGAGTTACAGGATATCAAAAAAATTGTTTATGATTTATCATGGGGGCTAACTTTAAGAATGTAAACGAAAATGTCGCTTGCTTCAATTTACGATATCAAATTTTCTAAGAATTTAGTTTTACATTGAATGCAGCAACTCACTGGATTAGTTCTTTATTTTTTACAAAAAGAGTTTTCTTTAATCCGGAGAACTTCTTTATGATCCTCCTTAATAAGGCAAATGAATAATCAATAAGATATCTGTTACATATTTATAACATGAAATTATGATGACAAAACAGAATTTGTCATCTTAAGACTAGAAACATATCTTTGATCTTATTCAAAGTGAACCAGTTTAAAGTTTTCTTATCAAACATCACGGAAATTTGTATGAGCAAAAAATATTATCACAAACACACGCACGCACACACACACACACACACGCACACACACCCGCACACACAGACACACACACACGCGCGCGCGCGCACCAACACACACACACACACACATATACGAGGGGTTATCCAAAAATTCGTGGACTTTTTAAATATCTCTTGAACATCAATGTGTATTGTAATGAAAATTTATAAGCATACATTGTAGACTATTATCAACACATTTTGAAAGAAACAGTTAATTGTGTCTATAAATAATGATTTTATATTGCTTTTGAATAAGCCAAATACGGCACCCGGCGCACGGTAAAAAAAACGCAGTAAGTAATCGTATATTTCTTGCTGAGAAACTAAAAAATTAACGTAGAAAACCCGCTGAACATCGCATGTCTCTTCTATGATGTCATTAAATATTTCTTTAAAATAATGGACGTCATTTCTGTTTATTTTTGTTGTTATCGCTAGAAACGCCAGACACCTTTGTTGTTTACAACGGGAAAATGACGGACCCGCGGTAATTAGAAAATCGCATGATCATAAATGATCATACATTTTTGTTGTATTTTTGAAATTTCACCTACAAAAAAATTTGATAAAAATCAACAGACGAACAGAGAAAAGAAAATTTCACGATCATTAGTGTTAAAATGGCTTAAAATATTTAGTGATGGACATTACTTTTAGATGCAGTAACCGTCATTGACTGCGTAACGTTGAAGCACAAGTTGCACGTTAATATTATGACATTGACGCCAATAACTTTTTGGAGTGCGCCGCTGTCGCCGACATGTGTTTATGTAAAATTAGATAGTGCTGTAATGTAAGAAGCTACTCACACGAATGTTTCTGTGTTTATTTTTTATTAATTCATTCTCCTAATCAGTGTAAGAATTTCAAATTAATATCTCAAATTATATTTTACGCAACAAAGAAAGTCCACGAATTTTTGGATAACCCCTCGTACATATATATATATATATATATATATATATATATATATATATATATAATATATATATATATATATATATATATATATATATATATATATATATATATATATTTAAATTTAAAGTCAAACATTAGAAATGTGAAAATATTGACGGCTAACAAAATGTAAGACAGGAACATTTGGCGAATAGATATTTTTAATGCAATATATCATGGATTTCAATATCGAAAACCATCAACAGTGTTGAGAGTAACCAACATGTGTATGCATATCATCTTACCGAATCGATATATTTTAGTCTAAGAATCGATTACAAAGAACATGCGGCTGATTGGCTGGATGTTAAGGTATCTTAGTTAAAATAATATGAGGATTGCTAACCGCGTTTGATCAAAACCTGTTTTGGGCAAGCCTTTGTTTCCTTGAGCAATAAATTTACACCAATTGCTTTGTACTGTGTGGTTTTCTAAACGGATGTGACGAGTTTTATAAGCTTGTAGCTAGCTTGTAGCTTCCTTTTCAATCAAACCTAACAAAATTCAGAAAACTAAATATAAAAAAGACACAGTATATTAAGGGTCTTATTTCTTAAAGGAGAGAAAGAATAAAAATAAATGTAAAGCAAAAATATAAGGAAAATATGACTTAACACATCGAAAAAAGACATCTTTTGTTTTGTGTTGATAACAGCTAAATTTACATTTTAATAAAACAATGTATTATTTTAAACATTCGACCTGATATATGTCATAAAATATGCAGTAACACAGTTCTCACCTAGTAAATAAAGTTCATCTTGTTTGAAAGGTGTTGATGTGGCACTATCAATGGAGCTGATTGCCATGTCATCTGAAAAAATATTCATTGGAGTAAGTTTAACAGCCATTCTAAAGTGCTTTTTAGAAAAGTTTGTTTTTTAATGCAACAATTCAATCGTTTTGACATAAGTTGACTACAATAAAGTTGCAATATACGGTTCATCATTATACAGTTTTACTAAATGTCACGGGGTCTGACTTAACTGTGTGGCATTATCTTTATATATATATATATATATATATCATAACCAGATGTTAACACTATCTGTACAAAAAGAACTACGGTATGTTCCTTAGTAAGCCAAATTATTTATCTCTTAGATATACTTATTCTATATGATCTGGTTAGATATACCTCAGGTGTAATATATTCAATCATGAATTCTTAAACTCACACATTGGATGAAATATATCGATGATTTATAAATATGGCTAAAAGAGCTTTTATTATTAATAACATTTGCTTGAAACTCTCATTGACCTACGTTAAGACGTGAACAACAAACATGTTTAACTTAACTCAGTCAATAGATACTTTATATTTGTTGAAGTTGGCCTCTAAACTTAATGTTCACACTTATTATCTAAGACAACTATAATATATATATAATATAAACTCGGAATCTCAAGAACATTGCAATGATACCATGTCTTGTCTTTTGTTAACATTGAAAATGATTTCATATTTGAGACTTCTTCAAAAAATGTTTCGCAAGATTGTAACGAAAATCAACTTAAGTGCATAATAATAACGGAAGTATGCACGTCGAATAATGAAAACATTTGAATTAAGTAATTGAGATATGGCCTTGTTTGTAACTTAAGAATTGGCACTGATTCCTCGGAAGCATGGTAATCAACAATATTATGTAAACATAACAGACTCAGTTAAATAGTCTGTTCACAAGGGATTTTGTAAAATAGCAACATCTCTCACGCCAGAACACCGGCTTAAGCGGTATTTAATCATCGACATTTACAATTAGTTTGTATGACCAGATAAATTTAACATTCCTGATAAGTTATTTTTAATACAATTGTGCTCGACATTTCACTCATATTTTTATTCAATTAAATTAGCCTCAATCAACAATTTCATTTTGCATGAAATCACTCAATCCTAAAACAAATTTTGATTTTATTCCCATAGTATGATAAAAAGAAGTAGAAAACGTCATTCTTACATGTAGCTTACATAATGTTATTTTTTTATTCAATGTTAAATGCAAGACAAATAGTAGTTATTCTTTTGCTATAAGCAGCTAATACAATAATATTTTGAAAACATTTTGGCATTTGTCTCCAAAGTATGCTGTACGTGCCTCTTCTTTCTGACTCAAGGAAGTGGTCATGTTTTGTCTTTAATTATTTAGATTCACTGTTCGGTTTCTCTGGAATTTACTCCTAAGTTGTCAAATATATTTTTACCAAGATGGTTAGAAGAACTGTTTTTTTTTTCGCTTATTATGATATTAAAATATTGTCTGCTGATAGGCATGATCTGCATTGTGTCGCCATTTACACCTGAATTCAGAAATTAAATCTTCCTTTTCGTAATATCATTGCGATTTATACATAAATGCGATGAAATGCCAAGGATGTGTTAACATCTTGCAATGGAAAACGGGATATTTTAACTATTTTCCGTAATTGGTCACATTACATTTCTGGTGATAAGTATTATTTTCAGCACTAAATCAAAATTGAAGCAATAATAATAATGTTTACTTAAGTTTGAATACACTACTTAATCGTAAGAAAATGTCAGTAACATAAAGTTTCCAAATAATGCACCATAACATAAAAAACAAGAACTGTCGACTATTCTTAGTGCTTGATAGTAAAAAAAGCTTGATTAAAATGTAAAATGTTGTAAGTAAAGAAAAAGGCAATTTTTTTCTATAAATCCATATTACAGTTATAGGCCTTGATGAGGGTTCAATGTTGCTCTCAAAGAAGAGTATAAAATTTCAACATGTTTCAAAGCCATATGTCAATGTACTTTAAAAATATTTGAGGTATTACAAAAACTAACGTAAAATTCGAAAAAGGGGCATAATTCTGTCAAAATGCTTGATACAATTACCTCCTCCTGTTTACAGGTTGGGGTCATGATGGTGAACAAGTACATGCAAAGTTTTAAGGCCATATATCATTGGACTATGAAAATATTTGAGGTATTACAAAAACTTTAACGAAAATTCTAAGTCGAAAAAAGGGCATAATTCTGTCAAAATGCTTGATTTGAGTTACCTCCTCCTCTTTACAGGTTGAAGTCATGATGGTGAACAAGTGTGCAAAGTTTCAAAGCCATATGTTAATGGACTTTGAAAATATTTGAGGTATTACAAAAACTTTAACATTAATTATAAGTCGAAAAAGGGGCATAATTCTTTCAAAATGTTTGATAGAGTTACCTCCTCCTCTTTACAGGTTAAGGTCATAATGGTGAACAAGTGTGCAAAGTTTCAAAGCCATATGTCAATGGACTTGGAAAATATGTGAGGTATTACAAAAACTTTAACATAAGTGGTTACGCCGACGCCGACGCAGACGCCGACGCCTTCGCTCGGGTGGCTACAATACCTCTACTTATTCTTATCGAATAGTCGAGCTAATAACTAAACTGCAAGACTGTCATACCTTTATGTTCATTCTTAAGCTGAATAAATGCACATCGGTCTTTGATTTCCTCAACTGCTATTAAATATAGAAGAACATAACTTTTTAAAAATATTTGACCCTTATAAGTTCATCCAATTTTACTCATGAGATCTGCACATAATCAAAATGAATAAATAACCAAGACCTACAAAAAACTACAAAGGTGTTATGAACCTATGATACAGACCGCAAATGTAAGGCCAGAAATCGTTGAGATTAAGTAATGACATTAATTAAGCAAGACGAACATATTGATTCTTGGCATTAACATGAATACAACCGATATCATCTAACTTAACCATTTCCTACATGATAAATAAATAGCAAGACAGAAATTTAAGGAATAATTTAGATCTTAAGAAGTATAAATGGTTATGCTATGTCTTTTAGAAGTTAAAAGTTGATCTTTGTGAAAGAGAATTTGACCTTAAATATAAATACAAAGTTGATCATTGTTATATTATGCAGTTCAAATTATACTGACGCTATATACACCTGTGCATTATGCATTTTATCGTTTTATTTATTTTTAAGTGCAGAAACACGAGGACGCATTACAAGTTCTAGACGGCAAGACAAGGTTTTTATTATGTCTGGAGGCTTCCATAATATATACTTGCAAACAAATATCTGATTCGATAATTGTGCGATTGGTTTTCTATTTTTCCTGTAACGAGACAACCTAGTTCGCAATTGCTGTTAGCCATGTTTAAAAAGCGCACTGGCTCACGTATATCAAAAATGTGTTATTTATGTGCATGCTTTCTCTGCCGTAAATATATACCTGATGGCGCGTTTTATGCAAATAAAAGTTTATGCGCTGAACAAATATGTTACCCATTTACTTTTAGATTTTTGAGTCTTTAACAATTAAGTCTTTGTTCAAGCTAAATAACCATGCTTTTAATGAGCTTTCAAGTGTTTATCGTCCTACTTGATCAATCATTATTGATATAGCATTCATTTTTAGTGATGAAGATTTTAATGAGAGATATCAACGAGTGTTTCTAAATAAAACACAAGCCGCAAAGCGAGGCCTATTTTGCAAACAACTATCTAAGGCAATTTACAATCAAAAATCTATATAACGACTTTATATTACCGAACACGTAGTAATTTTATTAATTGACAGCAGTCGTGTGTATAGTATATTTAGATGTAATGAAAGTTCAATGAAAATGGGCGTTTCAAACTTGCAATATTATAATAGATCAAAATCAATTTATATCATTTTTATATACTTTGTGTTTATGCATTAAATGTATTTTGTTGCATTTAATTACTTCTTACCATAGTCATGATTCAAATTGTCCGGAATATATCCAACAAATGACTTTTCTTTTTCGTCTGTTGAAACAATTTTCCTATAGCAGATATAAACATTATTAATACAATAAACAGTGAAACATCATTTGAACAACTGTTAACAAATTTAAAATAATATACTTACCAATATTATTATGGTTTGGTACAGAGAAATGCCAATGAGGCAAGACAAAATAGATATGTGTGAGGTCCGATCTCACGATTTGCGCTTTCGCTCACAAACGAATACGAGCAGACAGGCGATTATTGAGTGCTACACATATTTTTGACAGAAGCAAATAAAATATGTTTTGTTTAATATTGCCTTACAAAGTTTGTGTACAATTAGGTAAACTTCAAAAGCCTATCAAGAAATATTTTTAAGATCTCGCATCTTAATTCTTGACCTTTTTTAGCGTCTTGTTATTACGATTTGTAAATTCTTTTTCATTGCTTAAGGAAATATTCAAAACGCACGGGAAAATATTTAGGTATTGTATTTCAATTCATTAAATTAATTACAGTCAGCACAGCACGAAGGTAAATTTAGTGATATTTCTTCATGTTATTGTATGTTTTGTCTTTCGTCCACAAGAACCAGTCATAAACATACAAGCAAGTGACTTAGTAATCTTGCTGACAGAAAACAGATTTTTTGTTCATTAAATTAACCTCTAATTAGTAGATTATCTGTTTATACAGCAAAGTTTAAATGCTTACTGATCTTCTAATCTGGTACATAGTAACAACATCTATGACAAAAGTGATATAAACGCACTTTTCTTCCATGTTGCAACTTATTCAAACGCAATGCTTTCTCAATTTGAATTTCTGTTTTATATGGCATTTCGAAAATATGATTACATATTTCACGACATGCTTAGGTTATTCCTTTTACTGGCTAGCTATTGAGAATTTTTTATTTAAGTAAAGTGGTCTTTTAAAAATATGTTGTATGTGCGTGTCGCTTTTACGCCACCATAACGTAACTTATTTGATAGCACATTTGATAAACTCTCTCTCTCTCTCTCTCTCTCTCTCTCTCTCCCTCTCTCTCTCTCTCTCTCCCTCTCTCTCTCTCCCTCTCTCTCTCTCTGTCTCTCTGTTTGATACTTACAATCCTATGGGAGCAATGCATTGAACACACACTAACAGAAACATCTTTTCGTCGCCGTGAACATCCTGAAATTAACAAAAAATATCTAATTTGTAAGTACTTGGGGTTTTCGAAAAACTAAACAAAGGTAACACATACAACTAATGTACCTTAAAAGAGAGGAAAACAGTTTTGAAAGAAACAAAAAAAGCTTTGATCTTTGGAATGCTAACTTTTGAAACTCTGGAGGATTAAAATCATCAAATACATACTAATTTACAAATGATACATAAAAACAAAGTATCACCGTTTCAGACATGTTACAATTAATGCTTGATATGGAGAAAGTCGTACTTCGTATTTTTGAAACCATAGTTTATCGAAAAAAAAACTTATTTTATTCGGGACGGTTCAAAAGGTTGCAATATAATGTTTAAGTTCATTTACAAAGAAATTTACAAAAAAAATAAAATTATTTAAGATTTGAGAGTTACCTCATTGATTTTATGCACCAGTTTAAAAATGTTTGTAAAGCCGGAGAAACAAGGAGAAAGCACGCTCGACTAATATGGTACTGGTCGCAGTAGAGCAAGACAAAACAAATAATTATAATAAATGTATGCCTTCCATATTAAGAACTACACAAATTACTGTTGGCAATTACATGTATGTTAAGTATATAAAATAGTGAAAATTAACATGCTTTTTGTGTTATAAAAAGACAGCAATCTGTCCGCAGAGTAACAGAAATAAGACGATTCAAAGGCCACGTACTTTATGAATATGAATATACCGCTTTGAACCTTCTCATGGATAATGTGCGTAATAAGTAATATTTATTCAAGGTTGTAACTAACGATATAAAGACAAGTTAGCATTATATAACAGTTTAATAGAACGTTTGATGTTTAAAAGGGTAAATTATCATGAAACATACAGTCATGGTTGTCATGCTATAAACCTCATCGCGTATGATTTAAATACTTATAAAATGTCAAATAATTTAGGTTTGAATGAAATTCTTAAAGCAATAACGAGAAATAACAGTTTGAAATAAAGTTTAAAAAATACGGGTACCCTAGTTATAAAAAGTCATTATGATGTTGGCGAGATATCGAACATAACCTAGAAGTAAGAAATAAATCCCTAGCTAAAAATAAATTATAGCTAAAGTTAAAATAAGCAAGACGGCAATGGTGGCTCTTAAATGACCCAATCTCCAGAATAGACATTTTTTACAATTTTGTACATAACAGGATAAACAATTGTTGTCTTCTGTTGAGGTTTTATGCTCCTTTCGTCCAAAACTATGATACAAAACAAGCTTGTTAAAAACAATTTTGGTTCAAATGAGTTGCTTACTTTATCATTGGTCTTGATATTGAGTTATTATGCCTGTAACAAGAAATGTTAATAATATTTTGTCATGAAATACAACAAGCGGGTAAGAATACTTTTTGAATTAAAAAATCATGAACGGGCAAAATGCTGATTCTGACACTGTTGATGTCAAGAATTGGAATATGCAAAGGATATTTATTTTTTTAAGCTATTTAAGATTGTTTGAGCAAAATAGATAGAGAACCATCTTAGGGTGCTATAAACAAAATTTGTTATCGTCGAGCCATTGGTTCGGTGAGAAATGTTTCATTATTTGGACTTATTTTGACCCCCGATAGGAGCCAATTTGTATTTGCGATATAACAGTGTGACTCTCACAAGGTTACTGAATGTTGACGCTAGACGGAGGACAACGGATGTCATCCCCAGACTATTAAATGTATACCTGAACCTGCGTGTAAATTTTAATTAAAAGATGGAGATAAAGATTTAAGTTAATATTTCAAACTTTCTTATTTGTCTTCTTTCTCATACAATAGTATTGTTAAAGTTATTCGCGAATACGTAAAAAGCGTTTACTGTGCGGAAGATTGTCTCTTTGTCTTGTTCTAGTCCAATGAACTAATGGAACCAGTTTGTTGTATTGTCATGGCAACGTTTGCATGATGATATTGTATGATTCCATAGAGGATCTTACATGAGTGCCTTTACATACACTATTTATAAAAAGAATGGCTTCAATGTTTATTTTATCGAGTTTTATATTTCTAATATGGCAATACCCTGATGTAAAACACTTTTTAGCACAGTAACGAAATAAGGATGTAAATTTTGACAATATCAATATAAAGTTGTACTGATCCGTGACTTATGTACTTTAAATTAAATGAGTAAAAGCATCAAGTTGAATTTCTGTACATCATTTTAACTTGTTTAATTTTGTATTGATTAACCCAACGCTATATTTTTCGTTAAATTTCAAAATCAGTTCGAAAACACTTGACGTCGCGACTTATGCAGTGCATTTTGTAAATGAGTGTTATTGTATTGTGAATCACATGTAATTTAACATTTCTCTTGTGGATCATTTTGGGGTTGGTAAATGTAACAACATAAACAACAACAATATTTTGAGTGTGTTCACAAAAGACATCGGATTTCTCAGTTTAGTTTTGGTGCATAATATAGAATTAAAGGAAATGATTTTTGGATATGAATGAGAATCAGCTAAAAATGTGTAAAACAAGAAAAGAAAAAGTATGACAAATATCTATTTAGAATACAATGAAGTTGTATACAACAATGCTTGTAAATTATAAGTCAACAATGAATAAAGTTAAAAGTAAATTCAAAAGAGAAAATGAAAATAAATTAAGAAATGTGAATAACCAACAACGAAAAGACGATCAAAAATAAAAATTGATATATAAAGCAGACAATCACATCGACAAGAAATACATGTATATCAATTATATAATATTACTTTCAGGCAACACCATACCATAGATGACATGACACAAATGTAAATATTGATGTCACAGATGATAAATATTATCCTCCGAGATCACTTTATGTGAGGTCCAAAAATTTTGTTGTCAATTCGAATCAGCAGAAAGGTGATCAAGTCAATTTATTTATTTAACCCTTCCCCTCATGAGCATATTGTGAAAAATGGCAGTTTTCATTGAAAAGCCTCCTGTTACAAGTTCAAACTGCTATGAAACTATAAAAAAATGCTTCAATACTAATCAAACTTGGCACAAATGTTGCCTAGACCATTGCCTTTGTAACGACATGCTCAGTTTTAAATTTCCTGTTACCATGGCAACGAGGGGACATCTCAAAATTGCCAAAAATCACTATTTTGCTTTAATTTTTTCCATCAAAATTGATTTAAAAGTGCTGCAACTTTTCAAGGGATTGAAATAGAGACAAATGCTTTTCAGCGTTTGTTACATGTTACCTTGTGATTGTCCTGGGGTCATTTTTAGCCTCTCACAAGTCCAAAATTTTCATGGCCATGAGGGGGACTGCCGCCCCCTTCAAACCCCCCAAACAGAAGGGGCAACCCCTGATGTATCTTTTGGATGGGGGGGGGCGGGGGGCGGCGTTGAAAAAGTGCTCACTTTTTTAGCAACATTTCTCAAACGCAAATATGTGTTCGGGGCCGAAATAGGACATTTTACACTTTTTGAGGGGGGCGTAGAAAGTGCGTTGTTTCGCATATATATGAGGTAAAAGTTTAAAGCTTCAAGAAAAAAGTTACAAATAAAGGAATCTTTATTTTACATAATTTCTAACAGAAATGCTACCAAAGTGATCAACAATCACAGCAATTCCTATTATCAAGTCAAAGGTGACAAATAGTCCCCAGAAATTACAACCCATTATACTTTGAGTTGTATAGATAAACATTTTACCTCTGGCTAAATGAATGCTTTAAAGTTAAGATTTGACAATCCGATAGTTGGTCAAAATCAAAGAAAAATATTTATGAAAATGATAATTTAAATAACGCTTCTTGGGGAGACTGATTGTATTTTGCTTTTTCCAGTTTGCAAGAGGCACCTTGAAGTTGTTGAACTTGTGACTCTTTCCATGTCCACGGGAGGACTTAACTTTTGGATCACTACGGATGCATTGGTGGAATCGATATACCATAATGAATTCATAAAATTTGCTATTTAAGATGCTTGATGTATGACAAAAGTAAATGTAAAACATATGTCATAAACGAAACAAAACGTAAACAAATTGTACTTTGAATTTAAAACATAATACTTAATCACTAAAAATGTACTAATTGCCAAACTACGACAGAATAAGAAGGTAATTCAGATAATAAGCCAATGAGTAACTTGTTTGAAGCTGTAAAAGAATACCAAAATTCAAATATTTTGTGAAATAAAAGCGAAAGCATTTCTTGTGCAAAATGTGCCTTTTAAAAGGCCATAAAAATTGAATGGTAAACAGGATCACCTTGATAGTAATCTTAATCTAATGACACAATATTGATATCAAATGGTTCGTACAATTACTAAAATGTTTGAATAATTTCGTAAAGTACTGCACATTTGATAAAAAAAAAATAAAAAAATATATTAAAAAAAGAAAAACTTTTATTTTTGTTAGGAATGATTTGATTGCTTGTTTACAAAAGAAAACCAACTAATCAAAAATTAAGGTCTAGTATTTAGAAACATGGCAGTAACCTAACAGCTAGTAACACCAGACGCAACAATCTAAAGGTTTTTCTTGAATAAATCTCTCATCATCATAAGACTTTACTTGAACCCCTTTGTCAACCTAGTGATAGTTATAATATTACTCTTAAATAAGGGGCGAAAAGGGTTTTGAAACCGACAGTGTTGATTGAAAAATACACGCTGAGTTTTTAAGAATAATTCATAACCACATAAAATCAACTGGCCATTACGGTGTATGCTAAATACGTAATATGTAATCACCCTTCAAGCATTTCAATTAAAACCAAAGTCATCAATTTTTGGAGAAGATTAATAACAGGAAATAAAAATGAATTTATTTTGTATTGATATAAGTGAACAATTATATTGTTTCTTTTTCTTTTTTCTTTTTTTATAATGAAGAGCAAAGTTTCTGTATTTAACTCTCCAAAAACACCGTACAGAAAATATCATAAATGTCAAAATTCTTCACTATAAAATCTTGCAAAAGAGCATAACAAAAGTTTTTTTTAAATATCTTGACCATGTATAGTCATGCAATTTCTTTTTTATAACGTTTAACCATAAAACATATTCAGTACCACATTATCAAATTACCAAATTATTTACAATATTTAGCCATGTCATCTTAAATAAAGCCATCTATGCATCTTTTTTTTTGGTGTTTTCTTGGCCTATAATAAACGTATCGTTAATTTCAAACAAGTCAAAATCATTAGTTTTGTCTCACCCACACCGCAGATATCATAGTAAAATTAATGATAAGATTGGGGAAAACTTGGTAAATAGGTTTACTTATGGTGTTTTAGGGAATAATACAAATACATTCTTCTTCCACGGCCGCTAGAAAAATATTTATTGTGTGTTTCAAACTGTTTCTGCTTGTGATTGTTTGACAGTTGATAACATCTTATATCCATCCGTTTTCCGATTTGAAAAACTGTTGAGATATCCTGTTGTATTCTTTGTAACATAAATATCTTATTGGAGTTTTTAAGTTGGATGCGCTTGTTCTATATCCGGGTAATGTGATTGTGGTGTTGTACCTAAATGGATGTGTTGGTTGCTGTGCGTACAACTGAGAACATAAGAATGCCTTAAGAAAGTAAACAACGGCTAAAATGTAAATATTCAAAGCTCGGTTTAGTTGAGCCTGTTCATTGATTTGGAAATTTGGAATTTCGAAACACTGGCAAATATCTTTATACGTCGGATATCAAGAAACTTTCAATATGACACTTTCGTGCATTTCCATAAAAAGCGGCTCAAACTGAACAAGTAAAGGAAACCATATGACATAAACAAGAAAAAATATTTGCCGAAAATAAACAAAATGGCATTTTGAAAGGGGATAAAAGATATAAAGCTTTTATATCTCTGATAAAAAAATTTTGGAACCACCAACTAGAAAATGGCGCATGGATCAATATTGGCCGGCAATATAGCAACAAAATGAACATTCGAAAATGTTCAGTCTGAATTATATTGGCCTTGAATGTCATCAGATGTAAAACGGCTAAGAAATGGAAACCATGCGATTTCTGTCAGCGTACAGTATCAAAATTTAAAGTTGGCTTAGCCCAACTTAGACTTATTCCTTTAACAGAAATCCCATGTAAACGGGTGTCAATAGATCTGGAAAGTTCAGATAAATGTAACAGGCATACTTTTACCTTGATTGATTACGCCACAAGATACAAAGAGGTTTCCGCATTGCGATCTTAAAAAACAAAGCATGTTGCAGAAGTTTGTTAGATATATTTTGTAGAATATGTGTTCGAGAAGAGATGAAACTAGCATAAAATTTAATTGCATACATCCGAAAATAACCTTTTAATGGCTGACAGTTGGAGACAAATATGAAAAAGTGTCAAATGTTGGTAAAGACTGGTTTCACTTACCCGATAATATTCGAGACAAACATCCGAACAGGCTTTAACATCATAAAATGTCCCTGTAAAGTAAAGTCAAGGTAATATATTTTTTAATGGTTCAATCATAATGATTTTGCAAATGACAAACTTTCCTATACCTTGATTAAATATGCAGTAGATATTACATAGTAAAGTACAAAGATTGATGAAAGTTATGTATTATTATTATAATTTGTGGTTACAAGTATCATTATACTAAAGAACACTTTGTTGGTGCTTATATTACACTGTTGAAAGGTATAAAAACGTGAAACATTGAATACTCTAAGAAAACTTTTAGCATTTCGACAATAGAATAGCTATATAGTTGCAATTTTATAGATTCAAAAAACAAACAATAATAGATTTTACAAAGATAGCCGTGATAAACATAGTTTTTTCAACGTGCGTAATTTCAAAGTCGAAACATTATTCTTGTATAAAAAACTGGGGTTATGTCATATCGGGATAGTGATATTTTGATTGGGTCTTTATGCAGAAAAATTCAAGCAAATATTAGAAAATGGTATGGAAGGGTTACATTTATAAACATTTGTCAAAATACCTTGAGTAGAGACAGATACTTTTCTATTTGAATGTTTTGTAATGTGTTTTTTTATTTGTTTCTGAAATTAATTGATAGGAAATCGTATCTTGATATGGATGATATTATAGAATGAATTTTAATCATTTTGCCTTTGTAATATGTAAGTTTTGGTTCTTAAATATGTTTTCATAAACCGTTACTTCTGCTTAAATTTTGAATACATATATCCATTGAAACATATTACTGACCTATGTTGCCATCTTTCAGTTCATGTTCATATAGAGAGCTTTGGGATAGTCACAGCTTTATGAAAAGGTAAAAAGATTTAAAATTGCATAGAGGGAGCTGATATGGGTTCAGACAAGGTCATTATATTGAAACATCAAAATCAAGTATGTATAACATTAGGAATATCCTTCAGGAGATCAACAATATTTTAACTGGTTTCTGATAGTTGGTGCGTGCGTGTGTGTGCACGTGAATGTGCAAGGATGTGTGCGTGCATGATTATTTTCGATCTTTAGACAGTAAATGCAGACTAAAATTAAGGTCGAAGGCATTTGAATGTTTCCTTTGATGAGACCGTTAACATTGTTAATGTAACATATACCGATACCACAATTATGTTTTTCTAAAATTCAAAGCAAATTTACCAAGAATGAAGTTTTGAAAAGAAAACAGGATTTAGCACTACATAAATATGAATATGACATTGTTAAGAAGTAATTGTTGAATGTTGATCATTTTCGTTCAATACACAAAAGTTTTTAATAACGGTAGGTTTCTTACTGAAATTAAAGGTCCATTATGCTTCAGATGTATTTTTATTTTTATTCCTCAAACCCTTTTCAATTTTGTGTACTTTTGTAGAGTCCAAAAAAATACTCATGACCATCGCTTAATCCGGTATTTTTTTTTGGTTTCGTTTGGGAAATCGTTCAGTTGTAGTGAATTAGTAGTTTGAACGAAACTCAAAATGCTACTTTGTCTAAAGTTTTCTACTCTTTAAGGTCAAATTGGTTTACGAAAATAACTACTATTTTATGATAGCAATTATCGAAAATTTTCAAAAACCATTCAAACTATCATCAACGAAATGTTTTGGGTAGAAAGGTGTTTTGCTCTCAAGAACAATCTACAAAAGATAAAAAATTAGTTTCCGGTTGTACATTAAAGTATTGACAGTTTATAGACATATGTCATTTTATTTATTCTTTCTTCTTTTCATTCCCGTTTCAATATTCATTTTCTGTTTTCAAAAATGTTCCTATTTTCATTATTTACAATTTATGATGAAGTCGTTTATGGAATTGAAATCATACTCATTTAAAATGAACCTTCAAAAAGTCTTCAATCAAATTGTATGTAAAAGTCAATGGCTAAACTATAGAGCAATTCGTTAGTGCAAACATTATTTTCTTTTCAAGAACAAACCTATTCAAATTATATATTTGCAGACTACTTTATTATTATATAATTTATAATTAATCAGGCCTCGACACTAACTTTTTTAGCAGGTGGTACGCCGGACCACTAGATTTGAAAGTCAGGTGGTCCTTCCAGAAGTCAGGTGGTCAGTAATCTTTATTATGTCATTTTACTGCAAATGAAGAAAAAAATGTTTAAACTTTATGACAAAGATGTATTATTAACCTTTAAAGAAAACAGATATTTTTAGATATAAATTTTTCATCTAATCAGAAAAGGGAGAGCAAGTCGGTATGCATTTTATCGTAGAGTTATTTGTTTCAGTCAAAAAACACAACAGAGCTCTTATTTATGTTAACTTTTATATTATAGTGATTTCTCCCTCAACTCAAGTTAAGGAATAGTGAAGCCATTTGTGTCTGTTATTTCCTTAGTGTTATATTCAAATATTCATTGCTAATACGTGGTGCGTCTTATAATCATAATAATAACATAGCATCTTTTATAGATTAACATTTTTAATGAAACTAATAAATTATCTTATCCTTGTTTTTGAAAACAAGGAAATTTCTAAATTATTAAAATAATGACAACGTACGTTATTATTTACTATAAGTTATCTTATTTTTCTCAAAGATTTATAATACAGAATTTTTCCTTATTGGTTGATATTCATTTTTGACATTGGGTATTTTTAACCTTTTAAAATAATTTTAACTCGAGAAGAAACAGATCTCTTATCTTTAAACAGTTAAAATAAAGATAAATAGCATAGAATTACTAGATGTATTTTTTCCAGTACCTTTAGTTTGCTGCCATTATTCAAGTATCTGAAATTTAAGTTTATCCTATATCATATAATTACCATCATCGGATACTCACGGTTGATTAACATGTAACATAACATAAATGTTAATGGTTCTGCCGTTGCATAATTACTAGCACCATTTGAATGGATTTTGTACCTAAATTTATATCACAAATTCTTAGCTCTTTTAACTTGCATAAACAAAATTTTAGCGACTTAAAATGAAAGTTATTGATGACTTAGAACTTCTTGAACTAATCAGAGATTAATGAACCATATAGATTTTTTTTTAACAAAATTATATAACATGTTTTTGACCAAATCGCCATTCTCCCAAATGAGCCAGTTGCATCAACTAGAAAATTCAAGTGGTCCGACGGACCAGTGGGTTTTAAAATTAGGTGGTCCTTGCCAAAATCAAGTGGTCTCGGACCAACGGACCACCGCTAATGTCGAGGCCTGTTAATGGTATCATTGTAGGCTAACACCAAAAAGAACAATAAATAAGAGCTCGTTCTGGTAAATTCGAACCTTTTAAAAGACAAATGTAAAGGAGGAAAAATTGGTTGATTGATTATGAAACGAAAATCATTTGCATACAGGTCTTATAAATAATAATGATAGGAAAACCTGGGTTTGCAAATAATGTACATTAGAATTGTTTTGATAAAAACCATACGTAAGGAAAACATACCAAATGTCATGTATAGACTTAAAATGATATCATCCCTGATTTTTTACACACAGTATTTTTAATGTATTTACGTGATTGAAGTGTATCATATACATAACTTAAGAACTGTTGCGCATGAATATCTTTCAGCTGCATATAAAACTATTCTCAAAACTTCATTTACGTTAGATGTTCACTGGAAGTTATGCTTCTTATATCAATGATATTTTCTTTCTTTACATGATATTGTAATAGAAACATTTTGATGATAATATGAATCGTAAATCATATGGAATTCCCGTTTAAAAATATATATAATTTCCCCTCACTTTTTGTTATATTAATTTCCAATAGGCCACTGTAAGTTTTTCTTGCCGTTTCAGCAAGTGTATCACGTGACTATGTAATTTAAACTGTTACAGGGTAAGTGTTCTTTTTAACAATATAAAAGTCTGGTCACGTGGGTTTTTTCCTAAAGAAAATGGCCGCCATTTTGTTTTTTCAAATGTTCACCACGAAGGAGGATCCGTGGGACATAATCCGAGTGACAATGGCAACCAGAAAATTAAGTTGTTTGCATAGAGTGCTTTCTGCGTTTTAAATACTTTTAGTTAATTAGTCAAAATGTAAACATCCGTTTTCAGTTAAAGTTATTGCATTAGAATAATTACATGTATGTGTCAAAACATAACATGATAGACAGATTAAGGATATCATCGCAAATGGCCATTGGCAAATGGCCATGTGATGAATATTCTGAACAGGATCAGATTTCACAGTTCATAAGCGTATACATGATTTTGTGTTTTGATTCTAAATGAAATTTTAAATGTTATGTTATGTTATGTTTATGACTGGTAGATATCATCATTTGCTATAAGAATAAAAGAAAATGAACTTTTTAAGTACACTGACAAGGTGAAAGGTAGGGTCACTGTTACTCTTGGTTCATTTTTGTAACAGTTGAAAATTTCAAATGAATACAGTTTTCGTTCGGGGTCATGAAATGAATAACACATGGGTGCGTGAATAACAGTAAAAATATCATTCTCCCTAGCTAAAGTGCAGTATTTACCTTGGGATGAAATTTTACCGCTAAACACAAACCCATGTGTTATTAATATACTGCAACCCAATTTTGTAGTTTAAGCGTCAAATCCAGTAAGGCAATTGTTAAGTAATGATTGTGTTTGAACAAATTCATAAAAGAGACATAAAATCAGAATACATACGTTTCTATAAGGTCAATTTAACTGTCTGGGTAAGACTTCTTTAAAGCCCATATAGTCAGGTATACAATAATAATAAATGTTTATTTCTGTCAATAGGGAAGGCACTGATTTATATTTCTCTTGAACATTGCAAACATTACTATATGTGGATTTATGCTAGGAAAGATTTGTTCTCTTATATTTATCATATTCAAAGAATATGCCTTTTACAATTAACGATTTGTTCCAAATAAGTGGTCAGGGAATTCGTGAAAAGTATCTAAATGAGTAAAGTATTTCATAATAATTTGTAAAAACTGATTTACATATTTTCTTTGATCATGGATCTCTAGATGCCGGTTCAATATGCTAATTACTACATGGCGTCTTTGACGTATACTGTTTCGAACTGAACCAATTGTTTCATTTTATTTCAGTAATCAATTCAACAGGTACACAAATACTTTGCACCCGATTATTACCGGATCAATCATTATTTATAACATTTTTATTTATCAAATGATAGTTGATATATTTTTCTATACAGTTATATAAAATAGTCAAAGTATCACAATTTTATGTATTTTGTTAATTATTATATTATCTGTGGATTAGAATTTTTCGTTTATTGACTTGAAATTCAATAAACACAATTAAAATATAAAAAGTAAATATAGCGTGAAAAAGCTATATCAACTAATGCATTTAAATAATAAAGATTTTACTTGGAAATTAACTTTGTAATTCTAGTTATACATAATTATGTAACGCATGTATTAGCATTGTAAAGCATTATATGACAATTAAAACATTTCGTAGCAATGATTTGATTTTCAAGTTTGAAAGACCAAACGTCAAGTATTGCTTTAAGAAGTCATCAATCAATTTAACACATTTTTTTCACCACATGTTTTTGTTTTTCAAATGTCGCAAACACCAATTTTACTGTATTAAGTTATTTAAATCTAGTACTTACCATTTTCATTCTGTATTGGTTTCAACAATATTTTACCAGATACAAAACGCAAAGGATAAACCGAATCAATTGAAGAATCTCCTTTATCAACAGCGCATCTACAGTTTTTACATGACAGTGAATCTGAAAAAGGTCAATTTGTTTATAAGCAGAATAGATACAGAAATATTTTTATACATACAAAATATATAATTTGACCAAGATTCGTGTAAATGTTTGTAAAGGTTACTTTAATGAATTTAAGGATTACTTTGTTAGTGTACGTTTATATGACATATTTCGTATTTTCGCTTATTGAGAAAGAACGATGAAGACAATTATTTTTAACTGTATTTCATGTTTTCATAATTTTACACTCGATATTGAAATCTTTGTTTATATAAAGCAGCAACCAATAACTAACTTTCAGGTTTAGCTTATACAAAAATATCCAATTAATTTGACTTTTGGTAATATATTATTATATGATGTAATTATCACGGTATCATAAATGATAATGCATGTTATGTCTAAAAAGTAATTATTTACCATTTTCGTAAACAAGTTCCTTTCTTTTAAGAAGAAACATGAAAGTCACGTTTGCTGTGTCTCTTTCAACAAATTCACTGCAAAAAATAAGGAAAGTTATGGCTAAAAAACCTTACCTTCAAATCACTTGCGGGCATAAATCTCTAAGATTATCATAAAGACGATAAAATATAAAAAGGGAATCCCTAAAGAACGCCCAAAACGACAAAACTGAAATGTTTCAAGCTTGGTTTGATTGCGCTTGATCATGGACGGTACTAGAAAGTGCAAGTAAGCGTCCAAACAGAATTCAACATTTTAACACGAAAATGGTGAAATTTTGAATTTAGAAACAACTGCATGTGTGTATACGGCGATTTTCATGGAAAATCCAATGTGATACATTCGTTGAGTTCCATGACAGGCGGTGTATGGTCCTTGCGTGAGCCTAAAACTATGATCATACTATGCAAAAGTGGTAACCTTAAATCTAATAGTACATAGAAGTGGCAGGACAAAGGCATATACTAAAACGCACCACCAAGGAAACAGTTGACAAAATATTCTTCTTGTAACGAATAGCAAGAATGAACCTTCAAAACTCATTCAATAAACGATTTTGTATGCTCGCAACTTTCGATGCAAGTCATTGTGTTATATGTTATATGTCTTCTCTAATGAGAGTTGTAATTTATATGCATGACACAAAAACGAAGTACGCATATATTCAAATAATATAATTTTAAGAATGAAACCGCTTGAATCTGAACATACAACTGTATGATTGAAAGAACTTCGGTCTACAACTACACTACAACGTCTCACTGCAAAGATTATGGTTAATACACACATGACTGACCTTTTCTGAAGAGCACTGATCAATATGTACAAGTGTTCCAAAATAAATAAACTTCAGCCATATATTGATTTGCATTTCATTATTTCATTTTATCAGAATATTGAAGAATGAAATAGCTTTTAGAGAAGAACGTTATATGTTTGAAGAAGAACATAGCATTCTAGAATAGAATGTAATATGTCTAGAGAATAACGAATTAGATCTAGAGAATAACGTACAAGTATTATAGGTCAAGACTGAAATATTACAAGTCTAGAGTAGAACGTAATAATTATAGGCAAGAAAGTTATAGGGAAAAAACTTGAATGTCTGGAGAAGAACATAAAAGGTTAAGGGGAGAACTTTTTAGGTCAAGAGAAATAATATAGGTTTACAGAATAATTTATTACTCCTAAAAAATGTTATAAGTTTGACGGAGAACAAATATGTCTAGAGAAGAATATTATAGGCATGGAGAAGAATCTATCTAGAGGAGAATGTTAATGGTCTAAAGAACTAGGGAGAATTATATCTGTTAAGAAGGTCTAGCATACAACGTATTAATTTTAGGGAGTAACGTTATATATCTAGAGTAAAACTAAATAGATCTAGGGAAAAATAAAATGGGTTTAGAGAACAATGTAAAATGCGTATAAAGAACGTTTAAGGTCGAGAGAAGAATGTACTAGATCTAGGGATGTTCGTTATAGATGTAGAGAAAAATGATATATGTTTAGAGAGGAATATAATAGGTTAAAGGTAGACCGTTATGTATTTAGGGAAGAAGGTTATAACACTGGCTCCAAAAGATTGTTATATGCCTCAATAAACTATAGCTAATAATGTCTAGAAAATAGTGTTAAATATTTAGATAAGAATGTGATAGGTAAAGTGTACAACAAAAAAGGCTCAAGTAAGAACGTTATAGGTCTAGACAAGCATGTAATATGCTACGAGAAAAACGAGATATAGTCTAGAGAAAAAAATGAAACGGGTCTAGGGAAGAATATTAAATGTCTAGAGAAGACTGTTATAGATCTTGAGAAGAAATGCATTGTCAAGAGAAAAACGTAAAAGGTCTAAAGAAGGACTTATATGTCTACAGAATAACATATAAGGTCAAGAGGGTAATATGATAGGTTAAGGGTAACGCAATATGTGTAGGGAAAAAAATTGTATGCCTATATTAGAACGTTAAAGGTTTAGCTCAGAACGGTATAGTCCCAGAGCAAAACGCCATGGGTCCAGGGAAGAACATGTTTTGTCTAGGGAAAAACGCAATAGGTCTAGAGAATAACGTTAAAGGTCTATGGTAGAACTTTATTCATCTAGAGAAGAATGTTATTGTTCTAGAGAAGAATATTGTAGGTAAACAAGAACGTTATAGGTCTAGATGTCAATATTATAATTTATACATATAGACAATAAGCTAATAGTTTAGTCCTTTTGAAGTACATCATAGTTATAGAAAAGAAAGAAAGATATATGTCTAAAGAAGAATATCTAGAGAAGAAAGTTAAATATCTAGAGAACAACACAGTCAGTCTTGAGAAGATAGAGATATAATAAGTTATAGTAGAACGGAATATATTTAGGGATGAACGTTATGGGTTTTGAGTAGAACGCTAGAGGTAAAAGGAAATACATCATAGTCTAGAGAAGAACGTTATAGGTCTAGAGAAAAACACATTATGTCTAGAGAAAAGAAAGCTATAGGTCTAGAGCGGAATGTTAAAGGTCTCGAAAAGGTCTTGAAAACAACGTTAGAGGACTAAAGAAGAATGTAATTTAATAAATAGAACAGGTTAAGAGTTAGGGGAAGAATGTTATAAGTGTATAGAAAACGGCTATATGTCTAGATAAGAATGTAAACGTCTAGGAAAGAGCACAATAGGTTTAGGGAGGAAGATTCAGGTCAATATAAGTCTATAAGTCTAAAAAGTCTATATAAGAACTTTATATGTCTAGGGAAAAACCTAATAGGTGTGGAAAGGAATGTGATATTCTAGAGAAGAAAGCAATAGGTTTTATCATTTTTATTATTTTCGACAGATATTAGTATCTTAAATGCGTTCCAGAATAAAAAAGGAAATTCCAGATGTCCTTTTTCCGGGGGTCGACCTACAGGCACTTTTTCAGCAACAAATTTACATGCAGAGACAGAGATAGAGATAGTGTTGGCTGACATAGGGGAATAATTCCCCTATCTTTTAAACCTCCGACAAAACGCATTGTACCTGTCCGTTTTTCGGCTAATAGTCCTTTATCTTTTTATATGGGTTTATTTTCTAAAGATAATGATGAAAATTTTTGTTCGGAGTTATTTGATGAATACATGTATACATAGAAGAATATATTTCTTATACTTTTAAATGGGTAAGTAATGCTGTCATTGTTGCAGTTTTTTCTCCGGAATTAGCATAAGTGTCCTCAAATGGTCTAATACTGTTCAATAAAATGAATATACATGAACGTTTTTCGCCATATTCCTCATGCGTTAGTATGGTCTGTGCTTTTAATTGTTATTTAATATGTAGTAGAAAATACTTTCATGATATATGGTTTACACCTGCTTCAATGAAGAAGATATGAACAATGACAAAATGGAGTGTAGTAAAATAACACAAACATTTGGTTTTATGGGACAATTCGTTACTTTATTTAGAATTTTCCACCATACATCATATTGTTATAATGAAAATATAGTAAATAAACAACAGAAATAAGAAGAAAAAAAATTAAAAGCTATCTTAAACTGATATTAATATTTCATCATTTTTAATCTAGTAGTAACATATTATTGTCAATTAACTTCTTATTTATACAAAATACTTAATAAATTAATTAATTTACCTACAATGTAATCATTATTTACATTAATTATCACCTTTTTTAGAAAAATAAAACTTGTGCAAAATATAATATTTATTGTGATAAATGAAATAAAAAGTAACAACAATAAACAAATAATAATAATAATAATAATAATAATAATAATGATAACAATAATAATAATAATAATAATAATAATAATAATAATAATAATAACAATAAGAATAATAATAAGAATAATAATAATAATAAGAAGAAGAAGAATAAAACTTCACAGTTCATATAAATATTAAATACTGACATCAACTCATTTTTTTTCATTAAAAAAAAACATTATGTTTATTTGCCCGGATGTTATTAAAATGAGTAAAAATATTTTAATGCCAGTTATTTTTAGTATAAAATTATACTAAAAGCTAACTGACATTCACTTTTTTTCTTATTTTAATACTATGCTTAGAAATCTTAACGAAAACATTTTGCGCTTTAACAATATAACTGTTATATTTTAATAATTTACAGGTATGTGTTTCCAAATTACCCATTACTTCAGTATGGACAAAGAAAAGTTGTATGAAGTGGGAAATAGGTGAAAGATAATTATCTTTGCTTTCTTAAAAAAAATGATAATGTAATTTACTCGTAAAATACATGTATAGCATTTAATTTAGCATTTAATGATAGGAAGATTTTTAAGTTTTACTTATTTTTTTAATTAGTAATAAATAAACCAATAAATAAAGGGATGAATAAATTAGTTAAGATAAGTAAATAACTATATGAATAAATAAATAAATAAAAATAAATGATAAATAAATTGATTAATTAATTACTTAATTAATTTATTTATTAATTTATTTATTCATTTATGTATTAATTACTAGTAAATAATAAAACAATAATTAAACAAAAAGAATAAATTAATAAATTGATTAATTAAAATGAATAAATAAAAAATACATAAATTATGCATGAAATATAAAGTAATTGAAATGTGATTAAAAACATTAAATTGTTTAAAAGTAATAAAAATGCAGTATATCAATATTATTTATATATGCAATAATGTGATGGATTGGTGTCATGAAAATCTATTGTTTTATTGCTGAGTAATTATCATAATTATATAACCCTGTTCCTTAAGAAATAGAAAGCTCATTCAACCAAAGTTTTATTTCAAAAGATTTATATAGCAATATGACACATCTCTTCAACTGTTAATATTTGTGTAATAGTATTCAAAATTATGCGGACATTTAACAGATACCTGTTAGCTATGCATGCATGTTCCAGACGTGCCGATTCAATGTTCCAAAATATCTTTACTCAAAGAAGTTCCAAATCCTATAAGCTATTATTAGAGGCTAATCGTACAATCTCTAGTTGTAAAATAATGTCAATTTTACTGACGTAAAATAATGTCCATTTTACTGACAGTCGATTTCACATTAATCAATTCTCTAGTAGTCAAGCACTAAAAGTCCAACCGCATAACGCAGAAATAATGCTTAACTTTTAGTTGATTAGTTACACAATTTGTGAGAATGTCCACACTATCATCAGGAATTAAATAAAAAAAGAATAAATGCGTTTTAAAAATAATATGATAAAAATATACCTTTCTTACATATGATTACTATAATGCAACACAAGTTAAACTTAAATATATACAAACAGAGGAGACAATATGAATACATAACTGGAAATGAAACTATCATTTTCATCTAAAAACAAAAGTATCTTAAAAAATTAGGCCGTTTACAACCAGGCTGCTTTGTTATTACAATTATAATAATATTCAAAAGAATTTTTACTGATAAGTTTTATTTGATCGTTTTCCCCCATGTTGTTTATGTGTTTTTCTTTGTTTTTTTTATTGCTTTTTAAATAATTTAACTTGCAATAAAATATATGCATAGAAAGAGCTTAAAGTTTCAATTTTTAATTTTCATGCATTGTTCTTGTAACAAACACAAAATAAGACAAAGTTGAGGTTACTGAATAATCATCGAATTATTTGAAATTACTAATAAATTATTTAAGGAGAAGTCTGATCTCATATCTAATTTTATAACTGATTATCGAAAATAACATATAAAAATCAATTTGAACATTGAAACATGTTAAGGAAAAGATGTGTTTTAAAGAAAGATATCGGGTGTTAAACACTAGTATCAAAATTTTAAAAAGGTAAAAGGCCCAATATGTCTCTGAAATCCATAATTATTAAATTATTTAGATATGCCAAACATATGTTCAATAATGTTTAAATCATATATTTAGAGCATGGTAGATTTTAACAGATGAGGAAAGTATCGCTTGATGTGAACAAATATGTCATAAAGGCAGGGAAATGTAAACAAAGTAATATTTTGACTTCCATACGAAAACTTATTCACAATAATTTTATCAATCGCAAAATTGTTCAATATGGACAATGAGTGAGCACTGTTTTTAAGAAATCTTACAAGATACCAAACAAAAAATGTTTGAGAAATAAAACTAACAGCATTGTGAGGCATGACGTGACAATCAAAGATTATGAAAAAAAACAGAAGTTTACGGTACAATATGTCTTCGAAATCCATAACTATTAAATATTATAATATGGCGCAATATTATATTACACAAAACTGAAAGCACCTTTTGACAAATCATAATATTTATACATTTTCCGGAATCAAATCAAAAACAACGATAGTTGAAACATGATAAATTGAGAATACCAAAGTCATTTCAGCAACTTCAATGTTAAATGTTATGCCTGATGTCTTCATCGCACATTTAAAAGTGTTCGCGGTTTTTCCGATGCATCACTTGTCAAAACAACCATTATATTTTTTGTTACTCCTTATTTGACGCCGTTTTATATTAATATCAATTATTCGTCCAATTGATTTGTGTTATGTCAAATCCCTTTTTCTTTCTTCTGTAATCTGTAAAATGAAATGAACAATTTCATTGCATTTTTTCCTCATCAAATTCTTTAATTGCTTTAATATAATAAAACAAATCAAACATTTATTCAATAGTTTTAAACGATCAAAATTTTATTGGAAACTTATCACTCATTTTAGGACTGACAACATTTGCATGTATCACATACTCAATCTGATTTGTGTGTGAGTCTTATAAATACATATGGCATACATAAAGGGGTTTTCAGCGGGGGCCTCCGAGGCCGAGTGGTTAAAGTCGCTGACTTGAGATCACAGGTCCCTCACCGCTGTAGGTTCGATCCTTAAACGGGTCGAAATCTTTCATGTGAAGAAGCTATCCAGCTGGCTTGCGAAAGGTCGGTGGTTCTACCCAGGTGCCCGCTCGTGTCTGAAATAGTGCCCGGAGGGGCACCTGGGGTCTTCATCCACCAATAAAGCTGGAAAAAAATCGACAAAAATCTCGGCGGGACGCTCTAGGATGACCCGACTTGAGTGTACGGTCGCCCATATGGGCTTTCCGGCGGCGACCTTATATAAACGCATAAAAAGGGGGGTTTTCAAGTAGATGTTATTTTATTTATGTAATTTAATGCATGGTTCATAATAATTTTAATATGTTACTTTTTTTATGGACAAATTGGAACGAATCAAAACAAAATGTAGTGTTTGAAATTATTTTTTGTCCAATAGGATTGCAGTACTTCAAATGAATCGTAACACATTTACTTTGGTAAATCGGCAAACTGTTATTCAGTCCAGTAAATCGACTGTTTGTATAAATAATAGAAACGGCCGGTTAAAATTTATTAGTAAGTATTTACAAAAATAAATTGGCGCCGCGCCGGACCAATTTCTTTTTGTAAATACTTACAAATAAACTTTAACATATACTTAAGGATCATTATATGCAAGAAAAACAACCATTAACAATAAATGTCATAAGAATATATTAGAAATAATTTATAAAGATTTATAACTATAACATGCGTAAAATTATTACGCTTGTTTAATTTGAAAGAATGTTTGTGTATGGTACAGTAAATGTAAAATTGAAATAATAATAAGTTTAGAGCAATTGAATTACAACAATTTAAATTATCATCACACTTAAGATGTTATGATTCGTTAATTAAAATCCATGGCACACATTTGCATGACAATAAAAGAGATGTATCTAAGCTAAAACCAAAGGTAAGAACCGCCTTATTATAGCCTTATGAAATAAAGGTAATAATTATGTGATGCTTAATACAATTACAAAGAGGAAAATATTATAATCAATGTATTTAAAACATGAAAATGGTGAGTATATATATACCTGATTAATTAACAAATTCCCAAGCACTTCCAGATCACCATTATGTACTTCTTTCTTGAAGATTCAGTAGCCATTTTTCATTGTTTGTTGTGTTTTGCTTATTAGTTCGAATCACTGTCATTCCGTGTTTAGTACACACTAAAACTTACACATTTTACATAACACATATGTAATATTCCCTGAGACTATTTTCTATTTCAACCGAAACAGTCTGGGCTGATTCTCTCTTCTAGATGTTGAATAACCTTTCATTAACTAGCGGTCAAACTTCGGTTAGATCTGCGATTACAAAAATGCTAAATCCGTTCAAAACGTGAAAATACCCAATGCACAGTCGTATAATAGATATTTTTTTGTTCAAGTCAAATATTATCAGATGTTTTATTTGTCTGTCTGCAATTTTAAATGTACTTGGAATAATTAGACAAAAATCCTATTGTAAATTAAGCATAAAGCGTAATTATTTTATTAAGATTAATTATGAATTTAGATTATGACATAGTAGAAAAACTTTCCATGTGTCCTAATTATAAGTAGGAAAATACATAAATATAAGTGCATAATTAACATACTGTTAAGTTTAAAGCTACATGCCTCCAAATAAGTCAAACTATTTCAATAAAAACAAACTTGGGAAAAATGTAATAAGATGTAAGGAAAAGTATAAAGGTTCGAGATGCAAGTAATATTTTACATAATTATTATGTGCGAATAATGACTGAATTGTTTGTACTTACAACTTTATTTCTACTGCGTTACTAACGTAGTAAAAGCTATTTATACATATTTTGACCACATTTTGATAATTTTCGTAGTTTGAAAGTGCCATTGATAATGTGTAAATCGCGTCATTTTGGTTACTTCACAATATTACACATTCAAATACATTTTCATGATGATTAGCATGAATCCGGAAGCGCGCTGTTTTCACGCCTTTTATCGAAACACCGGTATTGTGCTCGTTTCAAGGAACGAAACTGATTAATTGAATGTTTGTATTTAACAAATCTCTTATCGTAAATAACATACCTTATTGGTGAGTACCTATGGAAGATTATTGTACTACCTTATTCAATGTCTTGAAATGTGCTGGAAAAATTTAAGTATTTAAATAAGATATGAAAAATAGATAAATAATTTTTGGCGTATTTTTTACCTTTATCTGTGTCGTGAGTCCGTGATTTGTTAAACAATTGAAGAGATAAACATGTTGTGAAAGATAACTTCTATAACTTAATATTTCGTATAAACGCAAATCATATAAATTAAAAGATGAAAAGTTTTCTTTTAAATGATAAATCTTACATAGAAAACCCAACTGTCTTTTCACATTTTTTGCACTTCAAGTCGTCTTTCATGAATGTGTCGAGTCTTTCTACCTAAAATTAAAGTGCAATGAACAAAACCACTTTACAACGAGAAATATATATTATATAATTTGATCAATAAGTAAATTATTTCTGTACAATCAACTTACTTTTTTAGTTCTCAAGACAGTAACTTCTAACTATGAATGTAAAAATATTATCATCATCATCCACATTACAGATGACAAGGTGATTTTAACTGATATTTCCAGAATAACCTTATCTTTAAATTAGAAATATGCCGGAAAGCTGTAACATTTACATTATTTAGAAACGAATTTATATTGCATGTTCTTCAATTACGTCACCAACATCTAATGTGAAAAGATTTTACACTTAAATTTCCATATTTTTGAATAACTCTACCTTTTAAAAGTTTATTTATTGTTACTTAGAAAATGACGTTAAATTTTACTTATCTTTTAAATTATACATTAAAGTGATATCGTTTACTAGATCTATAGATTCTTCTTAATTTTGAAACACGATTTCAATTAAAACTTAAATTTCAATTAAGAGAGGCATACAAAAGTGGACGTTTCATCAAGCGTTATAATCTCTAACACTTACCACATTTGTTTAATATATAAATTAAATTCATGTACTAAATAAATATTTATTTACGCAAATAATATATTCAAACAAACGAATTTCATCTAAATAAAACTGTTTTTTGTTGTTTTACCTATTTTATAACCTATAAAAAAACTAGTCTTGCAAATTACAAATTTTAAGTCACTGAGCAAATATTAAAATACCATGTAAAGGAAATGTTTCTACAATAAGAAAGCAATAAAATAAAGGTTTCTAAAATGTTACTTTATTTCCCAGTTTAGCGTTTCCTTGATCCAATGCTCTAATGTATTCACCTGAAAGAAATTTAAAAAAAATCAGGACAGATATTCTGTTATTTACACGACTTTCTCCGTGTTTGATTCATATTTTGTAAGTGACGTTGATAATATAAATAATGAATTAAAATGAGTGGTAACAATATAATGCATTACATACATGATAAGTATCTATGATTGGAGAAAAAGAAATGCAAAACTTCTTTTTCTAATAAACAAGAGTATGTCTCTTTTCGTAATTAAAATATGGTAAACAAGATCAACAAGGAAAAACGGCGCTTAATGAACACACGACCCAGCAACAACAACTAGCGGCAAGGAGCCCAGGATGACCCAAAGAAAAACAGGACGGGGCGCAAGGCAGAGCACAGACATGCCAATCACCAAAATGACACTCAAAATGAAACAACAGCAACCGTCGTCAAGGAAATCAAAGAAAACAAATAAATGATTGATTAAAAGGCCCAAAAGTTCTGGGCAAAGGGAGCCGGGATAGGAGATTCGGGGAAGGGACCGGTAGGCCGGGGGGGGGGGGGTAAATTAAAAAAAAGTAGCAGTCCTATTTTCGTATGACAGTATTATGAAACTTGTCAGCTCTTTCCGTTCTTTTATTTCTTTAGTTTTTGTAAATATCTTGCTTGGTTTTTTATTTCTTGATTTCTTTGTGATCTCGCGAGAGTTTGGCGGGAATCGATCGTTCAGGTTTTTGCAGTATTTGAGGCAATTTTATGATGGCTGAAATGATTATTTATTAATCGGTTTATTTGCAAGGTTGTATTAAAAGGTGTTGAATGTTCATAAATGGTAGTCATATACTTTTTCTTTCAAAATTAAAGTGCAATGAACAAAACCACTTACAAAGAGAAATATATATTATATAATTTGATCAATAAGTAAATTATTTCTGTACAATCAACTTACTTTTTTAGTTCTCAAGACAGTAACTTCTAACTATGAATGTAAAAATATTATCATCATCATCCACATTACAGATGACAAGGTGATTTTAACTGATATTTCCAGAGTAACCTTATCTTTAAATTAAAAATATGCCGGAAAGCTGTAACATTTACACTATTTAGAAACGAATTTATATTGCATGTTCTTCAATTACGTCACCAACATCTAATGTGAAAAGATTTTACACTTAAATTTCCATATTTTTGAATAACTCTACCTTTTAAAAGTTTATTTATTGTTACTTAGAAAATGACGTTAAATTTTACTTATCTTTTAAATTATACCAAAGAAACCAAAGAAAAACAGGACGGGGCGCAAGGCAGAGCACGGACATGCCAATCACCAAAATGACACTCAAAATGAAACAACAGCAACCGTCGTCAAGGAAATCAAAGAAAACAAATAAATGATTGATTAAAAGGCCCAAAAGTTACGGGCACAGGGAACCGGGAAAGGAGATTCGGGGAAGGGACCGGTAGGCCGGGGGGTAAATTAAAAAAAAGTAGCAGTCCTATTTTCGTATGACAGTATTATGAAACTTGTCAGCTCTTTCCATTCTTTTATTTCTTTAGTTTTTGTAAATATCTTGCTGGGTTTTTTATTTCTTGATTTCTTTGTGATCTCGCGAGAGTTTGGCGGGAATCGATCGTTCAGGTTTTTGAAGTATTTGAGGCAATTTTATGATGGCTGAAATGATTATTTATTAATCGGTTTATTTGCAAGGTTGTATTAAAAGGTGTTGAATGTTCATAAATGGTGGTCATATACTTTTTCTTTCAATTCTATCTTTTTATAGCCAGCATGTTTTATATGTTTTCATCTTGTTCATAGTAAACCACCACGTGAAACAAATGTACATGATGTGTGTGATGTGAAGTTTTTGTTATACATTAAATTGTGGAATTGGCTTAAGATCCCTTTGATCTCTTAGTATAAGAGTATGTTGGTATTTATACCTGTTGTGATGGTGTAAATAGTATACATGTAATGTTTAACTGTTAAGACATAATAGTGCAAATGCTTTAATCATTTAGTGTTCTAAATGTATATAGAAATAAGATGTTAATTTAATGTTGTATTGATTGATTGTGTATATTGTATGTGCAAACATTATTATTGTCATTTCAGTGCCTTGAATTCAATAAGGATGCTTTTGTATTTCATGAGATTGACTGTACATGTAGATTGGAAACAACAAATTTATTACCACAACTACCCTGTGTTATCACACCACCATTTGTTACAAAAACAAAGTTAGGGGCAAAAGGCAAGATACATAGTTTGGTTATACATCTGATGCATTGTATTTTTAAGGGCTTTGTAGATGTTAAAGGAAATATCAGTTTATATATCAAGACCAGGTAAACGCAGTTCAAGCATTCTGTATGATTTGATAGGATTGTGATCTAACTACGTAATATAATCGTCCAACTAGAATTACAATTACTCATTTACCTTCAAATTTCAATTCATTAAATGTGCGGTTAACGTTGTGTTACATATAGTCAATTACTATTAAGATAACAATAGCACTTACCATGCAATATAAATCGGATTTCCTTTTCTATCTTTGTTACATGGATAATCTCGAATCCACAGTTTCTACATAGAAAATAACCTGAAAGTAAATATTTTCGTTTTTCAGCTGCATTCCATTGGCAGAGAAAATAAATAGAAAAGAAAATAATACAAATTATACGATGTCATCAATAAATGATTTGAATGATGTTAAATAATGAATTGATTGAACGAAGAGAATTAAGTTATATTATGCGAGCCTCCTGCGAGCGTGATATAATTGTATTTATCTTCAAAACATTTAGTAATAAATCTACATGAATGTCAGGTTCTCTTTACCATATATCTAAACGGTTAAAAACATTTTTTATTGTTATAGTTCAACTCTAACATTAAGCGCTTCTTAACGCTAAGATCGTATAACGCAAATTACCTCATGTCAAAGCGTAGGCCCGGACTTGTAATTCTATTTTCACGCAAAAGTAGCACGGTTTGTAATTAAATTATGTTATTACAATTACTAGATAAAATGTCAAGAAAACATAAGAGGTTTATACCAGGAATGAAAATGAATAAATATACTGAGATATTAAATAAAAAAGTAAAACGATGGGTGCCAAACTTATTATAAGCTTTATTGTTTTGGTAGTTTACGTGGATTATAAGTACTGTTCGCTTTCTGTAAATTACTTCTTTGTTTACTCTATTTTGCTTTCAATTTTATTTTAAATAAGTTCATAAAATAAGAGTGAAACATGAGGAATGCTAGGGAAAAATGAGTAAGCAATTAACTAAAAAGTATTAAAAAAGAATGGTAAATATTGTATTATTTTATTATTTGAACAATACTGTATTTATATAATGCGGCCCTACAAAGTAGACAGGGACATCAAAAAGGGTACCATGGGGATTGAATCCCGTAGTACAAAGTGACGATATAAAAGACAGGGCCTAATCTTGGCATCAAATAACGTTATAAGGGCAGCCTCTTCTTCATTGTCTCGGGTTACAGTACAGTGTAGGTATCATTGGCACATAGACAGTGACCTTTTTGTTTGGCTTAAAATTCATCTCTTTGGCTAATACACTGTCGAAATTGAACGAATGTTTATTATCATCCCTTTGTGCGTTATAGGCATAACTGGCTACATATCTGGTGTCCGTACTCCATAGCGGAAGCTACTTTTGTGAATGGATCATTATTAAACATGTACTTACTACTGGGATAAGTTATATAAAGTGCGTCACACTGCTTATCATGTTTTGAACAAGAGTATTAAGATGATGAGTCCGCCATGTTTCTCTCAATAGTCTACCCATGTTTGTATGCACACTATCAATATGAAGTAGATACAAAAAAGAAAAGCCATATTACTAAATAGAAGGAAGGTTTCTGGGTAATCAAATGTGACAAAGTGTTTTGATGAAGTTCACTAACAGTCATTTATACGCAAAAAACACCAAATGGTCACAAACACTTGGACTTTACCTAAAGTGCCTCCTTTCGATTGAAAGCCTTTTAGGAGCCCTTCCTGGCTCTACGACCTATATAAACTGATCAAAGACAGCACATCACTCAACGGGTGGAGAAAGGTCTGAGGGGGCGAGAATCTCACCACCATCCCAGTTCACCTTGGAGCTTGTACTAAATGATATAAAAATGTTTAATATAGACGACCAATTAAAGTTTATTACATTCAGAAGCGTTATCAAATACATTGCGTTTTAATACAAAATGGACGTAATGCAATCCAATTCATATGTTCTGCACATAATAAAGTGTACATTTAAAGCAACTCCGTGTATAAGGTTCGTAGCGGAGAAAACAGTGTCATTTTTACAAGTATACCCTAATAAAATGATGGTTTTGTTCTCGATGACATGCCTACACACAAGTATAGTGTCATCCTTGTCGTATGATAAGGCGCCAGTTTATAGTAAATTGACAAAACGGTCAGAGACTTTTTAAATAAATCTGTAAGAATTAAAAATGAACATGAATTGTCGCAAATGAAGAATCATTAAGCAGACTGCAACGTTAACCCAACCGAAGAAAATATAAAAATTCGCCTAGCATTTTAGTTATTCTGCTGCGGCCGGTTTTTTACATAATGTAACATCAGTTATAATGCACAATAGCTATTTTGCAAAATTATTTACTTTTGTTATAGAAATGGTATATTGTTAATCATATAATAATGATTACTTATAAACAATGTATACGGTTTTGGTTTAAAAGCTAATTAAAGAAATGTATATGCAACATTTTTATAGATGATTTTATTAAAAAGCAATTAAAATATTGACCTAAACTTTACTGTTGTTTATTTGATCAAAACGAAGTATCAATTGATCTATTTTCACTTCTTTATCTAAAACAAAGGACAAAACAAATGCGAAATGCTGTTTCACTCCAGATCAATTTTCATTTTCATTTTATTAACAACTTTTGTACTTGATGATGTAATTTCGGGAAAAAACAAATCTTTAAAAAAATCAAACATGTCTTTAAACATGTGATTATTATTGCTAAAACGAAAATCATATGAACTTCAAAAGAAGGTGGTAAGAACAGAAATAGTAACTTTTGCGTTAAGTATGATTGAGACAATATTGAAATTGTTAACAATTTTGACATGCTTAGACTTGGGTTATCAAGCGTTGGATCACTTACAATTGCAAATTAGTTGCTTTTAATTGAAATGGAAATGACGCAAATGTGTGAGTTACGGTTTGAAAATAGAATAGCATTGTATATTGTGACTATTAATCTCTCACGTCTCGCATATATAGTTTAAAATAGAACGCATGTTTGATTGGTTACCTTCTAGGATTAAATAGAGATATTAGCAGATTGAAATAAAACAAAGGTAGTGGTAGGTTAACATTGCACAATTCGGTAAGTATGTACTTTGAGTTTTGTAGTAACCCCCGAAGGTAAAGACAGTAAGCCAATTGAATTCATACAAGAACATGGTTACGCAATCGCATCGTTCTTGGACAGACTGTCAATTAGTTAACCAGTATTAAGTGCATTCACTTTTGCGTGGTTCTGCTAGTATCACTGGTCATACCTGAACAAAGGTACAATGCGAATAACTGTAGAAGGGATTACATGATAAATCAAAGCGATGTGGCATGCACTGTCCGGGAACCCGGGTTATCCGATTGTCTTGCAACGCCATACCAGTTATCCAAAGGGCGGGCGTCTGTCTGTAGAATGTGGTTTACCCAGAATATGTTTTCGAGCATACCGATGAGTTTGTTTATATTTGGTTTATTAGTATTGTACATTTAAATACAGGTTGATTTTGATTTCGCTGAAATCACAAAATTATTGAAATATGTTATGCCCACTTTAAAGCAAATTTATTTTCTGTGAAATTATTGGTTTACGCAAAATACTTTTTGAAGGATATCAATGATATGTTTATATTTGAAATGTCATTATGTTTTATCGATATCGCTGCAATCAGCTAATTATTTTTGTGAACTGTAAAGTATTCCTGTTGATAGAAGTATGCCCCATTTTAATAATATTTTCTGTGAAATTATTTGATTCCGCTGTGACTGCGTTTATATGCTGCGTGTGAGTATGTTATAGCAAACCACAAGTTAAAGATACACAATGCGCAAACTTGATTTAAGAAAATACTGACGATTGCTTCACAGTCTAATATGAAATAAACATGTTTTGACTTTTGACAAAAACTAGATACAATATGTTTACAATGTAATTATTAAGTGTCATTAGAAAAAAACTGGAAGATGATTCTTTTAAGAAACGACTTACTTAATTTGACCTGTAATAGGGAACACATATGTAGTTCACATATGTAGTTTATTCGTTTTTTTCATATTTAAATTACACATATTCAGTAAGAATTACATAGATTTCAATAAGTGTATGTGATTGAAATATCTTACTCAAGTATGAGCATAGTATATCTTTTTACATATTTCAATAAAATCAGTTTCTTATTGCTAACGACATTACCCTTTGTATGCAAATTTTCGTTAGATTTATAAGTTTCTACAGAATTAAATATCAAATTATATGTCAAGTTTGATTAATCCTACAATCAACTTATTGCAAATATGATATAATCAAGTAAGTTATGTTATCTGCCTTTCTATAACAATATTTTTCATCCAAAGATAAAGAGTTTAAGCAAGTTAACTCTTGCTAAAATAGATGTATTGTTTTGATGTAAAAACAAATCTGCCCCTTCTTTTCAGTAAATATTGACTTGTTTTTGTTGAATAAAAGGCTTTCATTAAATTCATTACTGTTGTCATAGTTTGCACTTAAACTCAAACGCCTTGAAAATTTTATGTTTCTTCTGCTTCTTTAACTTTGAAAAGGCACTTACAATTCTGAACAATCGGAAAATCTTTACCTATTTACGAATAATTTTCGTCTGTTAATTTCGTTTTAGATATGTTTATCGTCTATTTAATTTCCTTTAATAAGCCTTAAACTTGCACTTTGTAGAATATTTGTTCGGTTATTTTCTTAAATGTAATATATTTGAATGTCTTTCTTTTACAAAGATGCAAATCAATATAATTGAGAATATAACTTTTACTTCAAAATAATTTAACACATTTTTAGAAGATAAAAACTGAAAGTTAATACAATATTTGTGTATTTTGCCTTTACATAAAAGGAAACAAATAGATTATCATATAGATGGATAATGACTGAATTTAAGAGACGAACATTGTTTTTGTTTTTTTTATTTAAACGTGGCGACCCCTATGTGGCGAATATTGTCTTTAAATAGACACATTTTATACCATGGAAACGAAAAAAAAACATATAATGGAAACGATTGTATAACGATACGACAGTTATTATTTAACAATATTATTTATTTGTTTATTTTATTATTATTAAGCAATGAACATTGATATCATAGTTAAGCATAAGTTGTTTTCTATTTATTTAATTTAATGTTATTTATTCATTTATTTATTTATTGATTTATCAATGTTATTTATTTATCTATCTATCTACATTGATATTATGAGGAAAGCAAAAAAGTTGATCTCTTGTTTCATTTCAAAGTTGTTGTTGCAACATTAATGCGGAACGCCAATTTCGTCCAAAACATCAGTATTAAGCAAATAACGAATAAGATTATGCAAGTCGCAGGTTAAGTTACTTTCCGCATTATAAATGAAAAACTGTAATGTGATTTTAATTTTACGACTTTGCAAGATTAGATGGAAACAAACAGCTTGGTATTGATTTTGTTAAAATATTACTTCCCTTTTCATAAATAATTATCAACAAAGATTTTTACCATTTTTAGATTCACCTGGTGACCTCTTAAAAGTTGTCCATGAAATGCCTCCTCTTGTATCCGATTCAAGTTCTGAATTCACATTGCTTGCCATCTTGAAGTGTGTTATTGTAACGTACAATCTGAAATATGTTCATAAATCTTGTAATGGCAAAGCTACTTCATAGGATCTCATTTTAAACGTTTAATAGATTTTGTTGCAGCCGAAATCCTTAAATATAAAGTCTTGACAAAGAAAGAAGTGTTACGTTGTCAAGTCTTTTCAGCATCGGTACAGATGGGAAGGCGAATCGTTTCTTTTAAAATATATCCTCGTGTGATGAAAACATTATATCATCGATCGACCCTGAAACTACATATGTGTCATCATAATATTATTATGATCTACAACAGAAGGAATAAGAAGGAATAAGTCATGATTTATATAACCTAGTATGGACATAGTTCCTGATCGGTTGATGACGCCTTCTGATTTTGTGTCAAAATCCATGGTCACAATGACGCTTAATGTAAAATCATTGTCCAATTTATAACTTGTTTATATGGCATTGTGACAGACAGGTGAAGCAGGCGTATCATTTTCCTATAAAGTAAATCTGATTGGTTAATTATCTCGTGCGCACGACTTAATTATCTGGTGGCCACATCATAGTATCTCGTGCCCACGACTTAATATCTTGTGTGCAGGACTAAGTTACTTTCGATAGCGATATAGTATCTCGTGCGTGTCATTTAATTATCTCATGCGCATACATAATATCTCGTACGCACCACTTATTTATCTTATGTCCACGACTTGGTAACTTGTGGCCACGGCATAGTATCTCGAGCACACGAAATATTTAAAAAAACACACACATGCCACCTCAGTGCCACCGTACAGAACGTGATTACTTCTTACACCAGGACGATGTAGTGAATTCGTACGTAAACTATAATGTATATCATTTCCGTTTAAATCAGTTATGAATGATTCTGATTTATTTTGCAATTATATTTTCAATTAGTGAGTAAAACATATCTACAAATTCAAAAAATGAATATGTACCAGATTATACAAGATTCACAAAGATCTTTATGGTATTGTTTAAATTATCTTTTATCTTCAGAATTCAACTAGTGTTGTGTTTCTAAAGACATGAAAAAGATTGTGCCACAAAGAATCAAATTTTCCTTTGATAAGCTCTTGGCCCACTTTTGTGTGTAAAAATAACAATTATTGACATTAAGAGATCTAAGATCTATACAATATATACAAGGACAAGACATGACGTGGTTTTAACTGAACGATAATTGTAAATTAACAATTACTTGTTTGAACCAAATTTAAAATCCATTGACCATGGGCTCCTTCATAGAACTATATAAGTAGACATAAGATTATGGCCGCTCCTCAATATTAAATTGATAAACGACCATGTTATAGAGTGTACCGTAATGAAGTCACATAAATCATTAAAATATATTATCAAATGTAGTTTATGAGTTTATGATCCCACTTTCTTTAAAAAACCTTAAAATGTCATTGGTTAATTTAAAACAGGAAGAAAAAGACTTGAAATATGCAAACACATAAGATCAAGATAGCAAGATGTATTGAGAATCGTGATTGATTTTTTGATATACACTCACTGTCTCTACAAAAGTATTAATGTCCAAAAATTAGATTTAATCCACATTTAATAATAGCAAAGCTTTTAATCAATTATTTGTACAGGACAATAATGTGTGTTTAGTTTAAATGTTTAGTTTTACATTATACATTGATAAAACAATGTCAAAAATTATTAGTCAAATTGACAATGCCTTAGATCATCTATTTTCCTGGGGATTAATTCTTGGCTACAACTGCAAATCTAACGACTATATTTTAAGGTTTTTCTATCATCAAATGTTTCTTGTCCAGGTTGTTTTATCCCTAATTAATATAAAAGGTTAGACAAGCCCGAGCTTTTTATCCTTTATGTATTGGTATTTGTGATAAAATCATTTAAAAAGTCATTGTTCGGAAACGCACATCCAAAAGATGTCTTATTTTGTTTAAAATATGAAATATACAGTGTCACCAGAGCTTTAAGAATGTTTCATAACAAAAAGATGGCTTTAAAGTTACATTCAATATCTTAAGTAACTATTGCTGAAGGATAAAAGGTCGCACAAATGTATGGTTTAAGTACGTATTATTTTGTCTAATCTCTTGATGTAAATCGTTGTCATTGTTATTGTTTAATAAATATATAGTATCAAATACTGTAAAATATGTGTATATAATTTATTCTAGTTAATTTGTATGTACATCTAGACATGAGTTATAATAATAAAATATCAATAAAAAACTATACTTAATTTTTGCTTTTTCGTTTAAGGTCAGTATTGAAGATTTACCACTAGATCATTAATTATATTTGTCTCTCAATGACTTAAAACAAAATAAAATTACCGTACATGAAAATAAGTATTTCATTCTGAATAACAAATGCAGTGATATTATCAAATTGATAATCAACATGCAAGAGAATTTAGATTTTAAACAAAGTGAAGTACTCTTACTTACAACGCAAGGAGACGATATGTATGCCACAATAAATCTGCCTCTTAAATATTACATATTTTAAACGTGGATGACTCTTGAAATTTATTCATGATAAATTGGTGTTTGTAGACTTAAAAATACAGTCACGTTTTATGGTTTTCGATATTTTATATTGTACACGAAATTGTAAACACTTTGAGTGATGAATAAATACTTCAACTTCATAACCTTTTTACGTCTATGAATAATTGTACCAACTCGCCTTTATATGATTGTATACGTCCCGCGAGGGGTTTAACATACATTGCTCCGCTCCCACAGGCGCGGAGCTATTTGCGTTTACTTTTTTGTCCATGGACTCGATTTTTTATCAATTAATCCCTTCGATTTACAGCTTAAAATAAATTCGGAAAAAGAACTCCTTCCGATTTCTAATATGTAAAGTCATATATTGGTTTCCACTTCGGTGATTCGCAGCATGCCATGTTAATGAATGTGAACTGGAAAAATTGTACTTGAATTCGAAAGCTATAAATAGCTAGAGACCTTAACATTGTGAAAGTCCGAAAATCTTTTTACAGAAGTAGTTTTAGTCTTCACGAAATGGTCATCCGTGTGGAGCTATGGTGATAAATAACGGATTGGAGAATTTGCAGGAAGTGAAATGCAAACTTATTTAACAATAAAATGCACTCTTTTTAAATTTATCGAACACTTTTAAGAAGAACTGTTATATTACAGTATTATCATTTTGAAATTGTCTTTTCCGTAGGTTCTTTCCGGTATATAGCTCCTTTATTTTTGTACGGCTCTGATTGCTCGTCTGACATGTTTTCTGTGAATATTTCAATCGACCCTTATTTCTTGAATTTTTTCTGTAAGAAGTTGATTCCATTTTGTTTCAAAGCAATCGATCAGTTTAATGGTGGTTTTGAGAGGAATGTTGATTTGCCGAATACTGTGACATTTTAACTACCGAAACTTTCGATTGCAGTTTGAACGTGAGGTGTTATGTATTTTTAGGTAATGTAAACACAGAGGGTTTTGAAGCAATTCAACAAAATAGTATATTGATCTCCCAATAAATCAATTAACAATAGCTCTTTATATATTGTCAATGTCAAGTAGCTTTTATATCTTTGACTCGCACGAACATGATGTTAGTGAATTTCCTCATACCGCTCTAAAATTCAGGTAACAGTCTTCCATTAAATTGATAAATATTGTGTCACCATATAACGTGTATAATAAATAAAAAACCTGAATTTGGTATTTTTGAAATTCATCCAAATTTGTTTGTTTTTTTTTTCATGCCAGTGTGTGTACCACTTTCAGTATTTATCTGGGACTTAAAAACCTAAATCCCACGTATTAAAAGAAACCTTTTTTTAATTTGACATGAAAAAAAATCTATGTAATATTACTTTATTAGTCCCTTTTGTTACTATTTGTATATTTGTAACAATTATAATAATGAATGAAAAACAGACTGTTTATTTTGACTATTGTTTTTATGTTCCAAAGAAAATACATTTCATATTCTAATCTCTAGCAAACCTAACCAAAGTTCATGATGAACAATGTCTTTTGTCCTACCATTTATCTATGATATACAATTCTGGTAAAATCCAATAAACCACTGAACACTTTATAAGAATATCTTGTCATCAGATGTCTACTAGTTCATCGTAATTTGCTGCATTTCTTGCTTGCTTTGCATCAATGCTTTCCTTGTTATATCATGTCATATTTTGAGAAGTAAAGTCCATTAAAGTTTTCTTTTAAGCTTATTTACATATGGATTTTTATATTTCTTACCATGATTAGTTGTTGATATTTGTAGAAAATGAGTAGGATTATAGGTGAAAAAGAAAATGCACATGCTTTGATATTTTAATCATCTTATATTTTAACTGACAACAGTAGTGACACTGTTGCACTACTGTCATGTCACATTACATTTACGATCCTTGCAAGTCTTGTTTGTATTCAATATAATTACTTGCCTTACCAGGTGGGCATAAGTGAAAGCATTTTTTGTTGTTGTTGTTGTTAAGAAAATTTGATATCTGGCCCCTCTCTAATAGACAGTGCATACGATAAGTATCAGTATGCAAAAAATGATTGAAAAAAAAACATTCGGAATAATGTACAATAGTACTTAATATAAATAGAACATGACCTGAGCGTAGGAATGATTTGGTAAGGTATCTGTAATGGGCGCATTTTTTGCGCGGAGCTTCTCAATTGATGCATTGCAGCAACATTTGTACTTGTGGAAGATAGATATAGTATTCAACTGTTGAAACAATATCGAAGAGAAAGGACCAAACGAGCAACTATTTTCTTTAAGCGGGAAACGGGTAAACATTTATGTTCCGTTCTAGATAACCTTACCATAAGTGTAACAATATATATTTTAAACCTATTTACTGTTTATTCTTAATCATTAACTACTAAAACCCCTCTGTGAACCCTACGTTTGAAATAGTTATTTATCTAAACTGCGTTGAACTGTTTTATTACAGCTTTTTTTGAAAAATACTACATAAAGTAAGTGCTTAAATATTTCATAACAGTTTTTTTTTA